AGTGTAGAAATGTGACAAAAATTGGGCAAATAATCCTTATTCGGGAGGTACGTTGTAAGGGGACCATGCCAAAACATGCATCGATCATATCCATTTTGTCACATGTTTTATTTTTATCCCATCAAGGTACCATAACCAAAGAATCATATTGATATCTGCACTGAAAGTATTTTTGGCCGCTGTTCCCATACGACCTCGACCACTGTGCATCGGTTGCATCGCTTGCGATCTGACTCGCATGCAAATCACATCAGGATCCTATGCGTACTTCATACCAAAATTCGTCATAATTCTCAAGAATAGCATTGTTATTAAATCCCGCGAGCTACTGGTGAGACCGTTCACCAAATCCACCTGGCGTCTGGTGATATGTATTAGTGTCCTAAAACTTACCCTCTTGCCAATTATTCGACGACGCAATACCAAATTATATTCCATATTCCTCATGGCATGGCTTTACATTCTGTTCGCCTTGCGTATCGGCTATGAGGGTGTAATGTTTCATGTCATCACGAATCCACCTTTCCAACCCCTACCCATGACATTAGAAGAGTTGTTTAATCACAACTTTACCCTATTTACGGATTATTCCACCAATCGCCTATTGGAACTTATGCCATCCTTAAAGGCTATATCACAGATTGTCAATTGCACCCCGATGGAGCTATTGGAACAAATGGACGAGCTGCCAAGCAAATCCGCCATTCTGTCGACAACTGCCTACGTCAGCTATTACATGAAAGATCGCATGTAAAATATCAGCCAATATTCGTTGTTGCACGAGAAGCTATTGAATGGCTTGAATTGTATCTACTATCCACGGGGATCATTTCTAGCTGGGGAAATTGATGGGGTTTTGAAAAATGTAATCAGTTCTGGAATACGCAATAAATTCGTTCGTGAAATGGGTTTGCATAATTTGCCAAATGCCACAGGGAATTGGCAACACATGGAGAGTAATCATGACGATCCAAATTTTACACTGAATTTTCATTTTTTACAAGTCACCTTTAAAGCCTTGCTGCAATTACATTTTATTGCTATTGTGTTATTTTTAGGTGAAATACTGACGCATAAATTCATTGCTAGATGTAAAATTTTCGAAAATTTAAAAATAAAATTTTCGAAAATATAATTAAAATAAAATAATAAAATTTTTAAAATTGTTTAATTTTTTTCTACAAATTATAAGGATTATGAGAAATCTAAAAAATTTCGAATTTTAAGCTATTCAACTTCCATCTATGTATGTATGAGAATATTCATCTATAGACATCTTGGTACTTATGTGGTCCCAAATAGAATAACCCAAGAATTGTCCTGATTTATAGATTACAAGTATTAGGTATTAAATCCCATAGTGTTCTTATAAACCCTTATTAGATAAATCATGATATATTTCCGTTCCATATTGAATACTTACTATGTACCTAATCATTCCTTGAAGAACTATTCGTAAAAAACGCGGTTGTTGGACTGAAAGTCCTGAAAAAAAAAAACCTTAAACATCCAATGTTAATTTGTGAGAAAATCCTTAAATAATTAAATCCTTGAAAAAAATATTTTTAACAATCATTTTTTTTTTTTTTTTTTTTTTTTTGTTGGAATATCAGATCCTTGAAAAAAATATTCTTTCAAAATCCAAAATCCACATTTGGTCTGAAAGTCCTTGAAGAAATATTCTTCAAAACTTAACTTAAATTGGTCTGAAATAGTATGAAGAAATATTTTTTTAACAATCCTTCTTCGACCTTCTTCGACCTTCATCGACCCTTTTTTTTACAAAATTAACTGTTATTAGTCTAAAAGTCTTTGCAGATATGTCCTTTTAAAAACCACGTTTATTGGTTTGAAAGTCCTTCAGTAAATAGTTTGTTAAAAATCCAGATCTGGAGATCTGAACGTTCTTAAAGAAAGAGTCTTTAAAAATTCGCATTTATTGGTCTGAATATTTCCGAAGAAGTAATTCTAAAATATCCTCGGTTGTTGATCTGAAAGTTCCCGAAGAAGTATTTTTTAAATATCCTGGATCACTTTGCAGATGTTCTTAAGGTACGAATATCCTTTAATGTCCTTTAAAAAACCGACGATAGCTAAATGTATCCCACTACAATAGTCGCCAATACCTGCTCTGAAAGTCCTTGAAGAAATGTTTTTCTTTTATAACCTCACCATAGTACGGAGGGTATATTAAGTTTGTCATTCCGTTTGTAACACCTCGAAATATACTTTGTAGACGCCAACGTATTATTCTTGAGCAGCATAAAATTATATGCCGACTTGGCGATGTCCGCCCGTCTATCCGTCTGTTCGTCTGTGGAAATCACTCTAGCTTCCGAACATTACGTCTGCAGGTATTGAAAATGGGCCATGTAGGTCGACGTTTTCGTATAGCTCCCATATAATGGTACCTCCCGATTTTCGTTATTTTGGTGATTTAAGCGACATATTCACCGGAAATATTTCAAATTTGGTATTTGAAGTTCGTAGTAGATACTACAGCCTATGAGAGAAAATTGTCCGTTCAGGTCCTTCGTATAGCCCCCATATAACGGTACCTTCCTATATTCGTTATTTTAATGATTTTTAGCTACATTATTCACCGAATTCTTTTCAAGTTTCGCATTTGAATAGTGCAATAGATTATGACAAAAGTTGCCTATGCAGGTCCATGTCGTCGTATAGACCCTAATATAACGGCTACATTCGGTATTTTATTTTAAGAGAATTTTTATCGGGTTTTTTTTTCCTTTATATTTTTTAAAATCTAATTTTTTTTATTTGGAAAATCCTTTAAGAATCCCTAAAAAATCTAGCGTTGGCGGTCCACAAAAACATTTTTTAAAGAAATGTTTTTAAAAATCCACCTTGCAGGAGAATCCTTTTGTATCCTGGATTGAGTACTAATGAGAGTATGTTTTTGAGTGAAAATTTCATATTCTTTAGGTGGAGTAATAATTAAGGTATCTTGAAGTAGAATATTTTCATATGTTGATTTGAGTAGTTATTAAGGTCTCTGGTAGAAAAACCATAGTCTCAGTTGTACATTTTTATACCCTACAACACTATGTGTTGGGGGTATTATAAGTTTGATTGGGCCAGAATTTATGTAACACCTCGAAATATTGGTTTCTCGCCGAGCTGAGCCGATCTAGCTATGTATGTCCGTCCGTCCATCCGTCTATCCATGTTAATTTGTAATCACTCTACAGGTCGCAATTATGGCCCGATCTTCACGAAATTTAGAATGGAGGTGGGGTTAAGGTCAGAATAGAACCCTATTCCTTTTGAAGATGATCGCACAATATTTAGGGGTTGAAATGGACTAAATACTGAAAAATGTTGGATTTTGCAGTAGCTATACAGGTCGCAATTATAGACCAATCGACGCGGAATTTCGCTTGTAGCTAGAGTTTAGGGCGGGGAAGAAGCCTACCAATTTTGATTGTCATCGGATAATATTTAGCGGGTAAAATAGACCATGTCTTTTGTGTTGAAAAAATTCAAAATATTTCATTAAACCGCGAATATTTTAAAACCCAGCGAAATCACAAAGCCATGACAAGGTTACTTCTAATCTTTACATTGATGTTAACATCCAACAAATCGGATTTATAGCAAAATATGTGCGATATATATGTCTATCAAAGAAGATATGCTTGAAAGATCTCTTATATGTCGAGAACGGCTGAACTGATTTCGACAGTTCTCATTAATTCTGAATGGCCTCTTGGCAGGAAAGAAAAAACGTCTAAAAAATCGCATAAAAATATCTCTCTTAAGATGAAAATATTGATTTTGTAATATTTTCTCATATTTTTTCAATTTTGTCATATTTTTGGCATATTTTCATATTGAATTAAACATTTGGTAATATTTCTACAGCTAACAAAACTAAGTAGTTAGGATATCAGGATATCATATACAGATCGCATTTATGGCCCGATCCTTACGAAATTTTGCATGGGGATAAGATGAGGGTCAGAATAGAAGCCTACTCTTTTTGGAGATGATCGCCATATATTTTGGGGTTGAAATGGACCAAAAAACTGCAAAATTGTCAGCAGGTCGTAATTATCGCCCGATCCTCACGCACATTTGAATGGGGGTTACCGGACATTGCAAAAGCCAAGCAGTTTTGGATGGCCATCCAAAAATATTCAATGTGTAAAGGAGTTTGCCAACTTTTGTAGACAAAATACGGAAATGTCCATTCCAGTGACTTTTTGGAGAATTCACAAATACAGGAAAGACGCACTTCCGACTATTTCGTTAACGCTGATTTCGTTAAAGAATATAGTCAAATGTCTGTATCTCATATAGATGCGTTTCAGTCAAAAACCAATAATAAATGTTAATCTTTTTCCACTTCTGAGAGATTATAGGTCTTTGGGAAATATTGGTTCCAGATCTAGGAAGTCCATTTACGTGCAACATATTCCAAAAAGGGGAAATGAGCAAATCAGCTTAAGTTGCTATTATTCGAAAATTAGAGAACGAAACCTGATGGTTTTCTTTTATTATTTGTCACAATATCTTGTGGAATTCTTTCGATTATCTCGCCTATATAAAATGTAACACTTGTTATAGTATTGTAGGGTATTCAACGGTCGGCCCCGCTCGACTGTAGCCTTTGCTTACTTGTTTTTTTTTTTTTTTTTTTTTTTGAATGTTTGCTTGTCTTACAAATTAAATGGCACCAGTGTGATCCGATACCGATGAACTGGGACTAATCAGCATAATGACTTACAAATAGCGGAAACATTCGAATAAGTATATAAACGACAAATCCTTTATATTTTCAAACATTCTTGTATCACATTATCCAATCTAACGATTTAAAACAATACTCATTTTATGATTCTTTTGGGAATATGTAAATCAATAAAACATTAGTATCTCACGTATTGTTCACTTCAAATAATTCCACTCACAAATAATCAGAATATCGTACAAACCCAAGCAAAACTGGTCATTAAGCTGGAAACAAATCGGCAGAAATGAATTACTTGCAATTCATGTTGATTATTGTCATTCAGGTTGGCAAAGGATGTGAAAGCCAACCCGATTTCCAACTGTTAAGTGCTGTTATACAAAATATTGTTATTGGTGCCTTGGAGCCTAATGCCATAACTCTGGAAATTATTACCAATTATTCGAACAGTGAAAATCAAAAATTAAATACGGATCTCGTTGAGGAGATTTTAAATATTAATACCAAAACTGAGAAGCCCATACCAATCATCTTAAATCCTCCGTGGGATTCATTGATGGATGATCGCTTGAAAGTTAGACTACTGATGGTTCAGCGAGCTGAGGACGTACGGTAAGTACAATAAATTTTTCCGGTGTGAAAAACTGGAACTCAACTGACATGTTGTTAACAAGAAGTTTCCTCCACCATACAAAGTAATTTTAGGGACATTACAGGGTGAGATGAAAAAACTGCAACCAACTTCAGACTGCTATTATTTCTAAGCCACTTGTCCGATAGCTGTTAAAATTAAAAAGCATTTTGGTGAGAATATTCCAGAAAAAAAGTTATTCGTGATGGAATTCAAGCGGTATAGTGTGATTTCTTTATATTTGGCTGGAAAACCACAAGTGGCTATCGTTAGAGCACTACAGCATTTAAATGTGAATAAATCTTTTGTGTCTCGTATCATCGCTCGTTACCGTGATACTAGTAGGGTAGCCCGACGTCAAGAAAGTGGACGGAAGAAAACGGCAACATCAGCAGAAATGGTTCGAAAAGTAAAGAAGAGACTTGATCGAAACCCGCGCCACAGCGGCCGAAAAATCTCTCGTGAGCTGAACATATTACAATATTCCATTCGGCAAATATTGAAAAATGAGCTCGGGGTAAAGCAATTGAAATTCCAAAAAGTGCAAGAACTTACACCGCATCAGAAAGAAAAAAGACTCAAAAGAGCTAAAGAGTTGCTTCGCTTGGCCGAAAGTGGTGAACTGCCGAATTTAGTTGGGTTCTCCGATGAGAAAACATTCGTTGTCCAGCAGTTTGTAAACAAAGAAAATGATCGTGTTTACTTGCCAAAGAGGTCAGCTGAAAATGTGCACCTTCGGTTGGCCACCAGAACTCAAGCGCCGGCCATGGTGATGGTGTGGGCAGCCATAACTGCCGATGGTCGCTCTCCGCTCGTATCAATCGACCTTGGCATCAGAATAAATGGCGAATATTATAGCGAAAATATTCTGGAGGGTCTATTAAAGCCTTGGGCATGCAAACATTTTGGCCGCGGACCTTGGACATACCAACATGACTCAGCTCCATTGCAACCAGCACGCGCCACCCAAGAATGGTTACAAACTGAGGTTCCTTACCAGCGCACAATGGCCTTCAAAATCTCCGGATACCGATCCGTTGGACTATTGTGTCTGGAGTATTTTGGACAGCAAGGTTGGCACTAAAAAATACCAAAGTGTCGATCACCTCAAGCAAGCGCTACGCCGGGAATGGGTCAAAATACTGCAGAGCAACATTCGGGTAGCGTGTGATGGTTTCATTGGCCATTTGAAGGCCATAATTCGTGCCAAAGATGACCAATTCGAACAAATCTAAACTTATTCTAAAATTTGATGGTATTTCTGACATTTTTTGCATTCATTCAGAAAATTTAGAAAAAAAAGTTAAAAAATATGGCATTTGACTTTATTGCAGTTTTTTTATCTCACCCTGTACTCACCGCAATTGTTTAAAATGTCGTATTTGAACGGCCTGAGACAAAAAAAAGGAAATTGTCTATGCAGGTACTATTCTTTGTATAGCCCCCGTACAATAGCACCTCCCTATATTCGGTATTTTCATTTATTTAACTACATTATTCACCGGATTTTTATACCCTCAGCCATATGGCTAGATAGGGTATACGGTCAAAACGTGCCAAGTTGAAATACCGGTTCAGACACTACGTCTCTTTGGACCAAATCCGTTTCAGGACATTTGGAGTCGATTTAGCGATGTCCGTCCGTCCGTCTGTCTAACTGCTACGCACGATAACTCTCGAAGGGAGTATCCGATTTGGACCAAACTAAGTACATCGTAACATTTTTGTTAAACTTAGATCGAGTTCGGAGATGGGCAATATCGGTCCACTCCTTCTGCTACCTCCCCCACAAAAGGTCAACATTTTCAATGAAAATAATTTACAACACAGAAAAAAAAGGATAATTCAAGTTTTCTTTAACTTTGCAAATCCTAATATTAGCAGCAGTTCTGGGTTAGGTGCGAAAATGGACAATATCGGTCCACTCCACCAAGTACCTCCCCCACAAAGGGTCAATATTTTGAATAATTTTAACTCTTATAAAATGTCTTGTAAATGTCCGACTTTCTTTAAATTACACACATCACAATATTTTTATTAACCCAAATTCTGGTGTGAAGATGGAATATATCGGTCCAATCCTTCTTGTGCCTCCAAAAAGGGTTAACATTTTAAATATCCCTGAAGCTCATATAACACGAAAATAACATCCGATTCCATTCAGACTTGGGACATCTTATTACTTCCTTCAACGCAAGATCTGTTATAAAGATGGTAGAGATCGGACCATTCTTTCTGGTATCCCCCCACAAAGGGTCAAAATTTTGAATAACCAAAACAATCGTAAAATACGAAATAAGCAACCGGATCTCTTCAAATTACACACATTACAATATTTTTATTAGCCCAAGGTCTGGTGTGAAGATGGAATATATCGGTCCACTCTTTCGAGTACCTCCTCCATACAGGGTCAACATTTTTATACCCTCTACCAAAAAAGGTATGGAGGGTATATTAAGTTCGTCATTCCGTTTGTAACTCATCGAAATAATCATTTTAGTCCCAACAAAGTATATATATTCTTGATCAGCGTAAAATTCTAAGACGATTTGTCCGTCCGTCTGTCCGTCTGTTGAAATCACGCTACAGTCTAAACGAATTAAGATAGGAAGCTAAAATTTTGGACAGATCTCTCTTTTGTCTGCAGGCAGGTCAAGTTCGAAGATGGGCTATATCGGTCCACGATATCGTATAGCCCCCACATAACGGTACCCCCGATATTCGGTATTTTGATGATTTTACCCACATTTTTCAACGGAATTTTCTGAAAATCCACACAAGGAGTTCCTTGTGGGTACTTTATACCTCGGCAGAGAAATGTCCATAAAGGTCCACGATATCGTGTAACCCCCATGTAACGGTACCCCCACGGTATTCGGTATTTTGATGATTTTTGCCACATTTTTCAATGGAATTGTCTGAAATTCCACAAAAGGAGTCCTTTGTGGGCATTTTACCTCCTCAAAAAGAATTATCAATATAGGTCCACAATATCGTATAGCCCCCATGTAACGGTACCCCCGATATTCAGTATTTTGATGATTTTACCCACATTTTTCAATGGAATTGTCTGAAATTCCACAAAAGGAGTCCCTTGTGGGCATTTTACCTCCTCGAAAAGAATTGTCTATTTAGGTAGGAATTGTCTATAACGGTACCTCCCGATATTCGATATTTTATGATTTGACCCACATTTTTCATCGGAATTGTCTGAACATCCACACAAGGAGTTCCTTGTGGGTACTTTATACCTTGGCAGAGAATTATCTATATAGTTCACGGTATCGTATAGCCCTCATATAACGGTACCCAGCGATATTCAGTATTTTGATGATTTTAGCCACATTTTCCAATCGTATTGTCTGAAAATCCACACACGGAGTTCTTTGTGAGCAGTTTACCCCTGAAACGGAATTGTCTATATAGGTCCACAATATCGTATATCCCCCATATAACGGTACTCCCCTATATTCGGTATTTTGATGATTTTAGCCACTTTTTCCAATGGAATTATCTGAAAATCCACACAAGGAGTTCCTTGTGAGTACTTTACACGCAGACATAGATTTGTCCTTATAGGTCCACAATATCGTATATCCCCCCATATATCGGCATCTTCCTATATTAGATATTTTAAAGATTTTAAAAGAATTGTTAATGGATTTTATTTTTTTTGAAAATTTTTTAATTCGTTCCAATTCAAAGTTCGGCCCGGCCGAACTTACTGCTTTTTTACTTGTTTATGTGTTAATTTACCTAGGTACCACTTTTTGAGTTCCAAGCAGCATAATTCATTTATTTAGGACATAAAATCAGATTTTGATAATGAAAATCATTCGGCTCTTTCATTTCCCTTTATTTACTTCTAGCTTGGATTTGGATGGATCAGTAAAGTATTACAGATCATTGAAATCTGTACTCACTACAACTCCAAAATATGTTGTTATTTTCACAAGCTATCAATTCAACGAAATGGAACGGATATTTCAACTTCTATTCGATGCCTATATTTTGGATGTAATAATTGTAATGCCTCATACCAATCAAGTGCAGATATTCACATATTTTCCTTATCACTCGAACCGAGGGTGTTCCAATGTGCTGCCTGTATTGGTATATACTACTGACGGTTTTGAAAAACAGCAGCCAATAACGTATGACACAATTTTCCCCAGGAAGACTTTAAATTTCCACCAGTGTCCAATACGGGTGGTAGTATGGAACACACCCCCATACATAGATATTATAGGAGATCCAACTGGCACAGTATCACTGCAAGGATTCGATGCATCTATCCTGGATATCTTATCGAAAGAATTGAACTTCTCAGTAGAAGTGGTACCCAACGATCCACCGAAAATCATATCCGGAGTTGTTTATCCCAATGGCACAGCAGCGGGTGTCTTTAAAATGGTAAATATTAATTAATTAATTTTTAAGTGGTTTTCTAGAAAAGATTTTCAGTTGCACAATGAAATGAAGATCTCTTTCCGTCTTTTGGAAGGCCTTCCGCCTACTTGTGAATATCTTCTGGCCTTGGATAATTCTTCTGTCATTAGAACAGCATAAAAAGTTCTTTCGTCCATGAACGACCTTAAGAATGTCTATAGGAAACTTCAACCCTATAAAAGGTATTCTTTGACCTCCGCATTATTGAAGACCTCGAAAAAATATCCTTTCCATAAAAATCCTTGAGAAGATCTTCAAACCCCTTAAAAATATATTAATACCACAGAAGGCCTGAAGAAGAGAATTTTAAATGGCTCTTTGATTAACAGAGATATAGAAAACTTCTTTGCTAGAAAAGTCCTTGAGAAAGTCTGCTGTTTATAGAAGAACTTGAAGATGTATCGTCTATTCATAAAACACCTTCTTAAGGTCTTCCAAAGGAAAAACCCCTTCTCCAAATCCTATAGAAGCACAAGTCATCTAGAGGTTCCCCAGAGGCCAAAGAACTCCTCGAGCTCTTCTAGAGGTAGATGACCTTTCCTTGGTTTTATGTATGCAGAGAATCTAGTAAAGATTTTCTGGAAGAAGAAGATTTTTACAAGATCTTCTGGAGGCAGAAAATTTTATAGAGACATTTCTGAGGCAGGACTTAAGGTTCCCTGAAAGCAGAAGACCGTCTCCAGGTGTTCTAATGAAAGAAGGTCTTTGCTAGGTCTTCTGGTGTAAAAAGCCTTATCTAGATCTTATGAAGGCTCTCCAGGAGGCAAAAGCTCTTCCCAAGGTCTTCAGAAGGCATGTTTTCTAGAGGCAAAAAAATTGTTAGAAGACTAAAGGCAGATGGAGACAGAAGATATATTTTAGGCCTTTAGAAGGAGAAAGATCTTCTGCTTGCAAAAGACCTTCTCCAGTTCATCCGGAGGCAAAAGATCTTCTCAGGGTCTTCTGAAAGCAGATCTCCTGGAGACAGAAAACCTTTTTCAGCTTTTTCAAAGGCGGTTGTGCATAAAATCTTTAGCAGGTCTCCTGGAGAAGAAATACCTTCAGCAGGTTTTGTGGTGGCGGTAGGTCTTCTAGGAGCAGAAGACCTACTCCAGGTATTCTAGAGGGAGAAGACTTTTACAAGGTCTTCTGGAGATGGAATGCCTTTTCTGGGTCTTTTGGGTTCCAACGACCTTCCCCTGGTCTTATGGAGGTAGAAAACATTTTCCAGATATTCGAAAGCAGAAAATCTTCACAGGGTCTTCTTTATAGATAGAGGTCCTTCTTTAAGTTTTTTTTTTAATCTTCTGTGGGTTCCCTGGAGGCAAAAGGCCTCCTCAATCTCTCCTGACATCAAAAGGCCTTCTAAAGGACTTTTTGAGGCAAAAGACCTTCACCAAATCTCCTCGAGGAAGCTGAATACCTTCTCAAGGTCTTCTAGAGCCAGATGACATTCTCCAGGTCTTCTGGACTCGAAAGGCCTTCTCGCAGTCTTCTATAGGTAGAAGACCTCCTTAAGGTTTTCTAGAGGCAGAAGTTTCTCTCAAGGCATTCCCTAAGCAGAGGACCTTCACAAGATCTTCTAGAGGCAGAAGATCTATTCAATACCTTTTCATGATCTTTTACAGGCAAAAGGTCTTTTTGTGGTCCTTTGGAGTTAATAAAAAACTTTCTCAAGATCCGTTGATGGCAAAATACCTTTTTGAGATCCTCTGGATGTTGAAAACGTTCTCTAGGTTTTATTGAAGAAGAAGATTTTTCTCAACACCTTTTCATTGGTTTTCAGATACATAAGACCTTTCAAGGTCCTTTGGAGACAGAAGGCCTCATCGAGTTGAGTCTAATTCCTGTCGGAAAAAATAAAACCTTCAAGGCATTTTAGATACAGAAGTAATCCTCAAAGCCCTCTTTGCACAAAGGATCATCTCGAGGTTCTACTTAACTTTTGGAGGTCTCCTACAGACAGAAGGCCTTCAAAAGATCTTCAACAGACTGAAGACCTTTTATAGGTTGAAGTATGGCCGGAAGACAAACAAATAGTATTTATCTAATGTTCTGTCTATAGAAGACCGTTAGCAGGTCTTCGGTCTGTAGAAGATCTTTCATGAGTACTCTCCTTGCAGGAGTCCTTCATAAAGTCCCCGCTATATAAAATACCCTTCGAATTCCTTCGATTTATCGAAGAATTTTCTAATGTCTTTTATCGCTGGAGGACCTTTTCTCTTAATAGCATTGATAAGGCCTTCTGTCCATAGATCTTAAGAATGTCCTTCCTGCAAAGAATTGTTTCTTACAATTAAATATATGGTTTCCTTTCCAGCTACAACAACAACGCCTCAATCTCACAATCGGTTGGATTTCATGCATGTTGAATCGTTTAGAAGTCTCCACGGGATCAAATGCCTATTTCACAGATCATTACGTCATCATTCTCAAAAATAACATTATGGTGACGCCCAATGAATTGCTTCTGAGACCCTTCACCAAATCCACCTGGCGTGTATTGATTTGTGTTGCTATCGTTAAGATAGCTCTGCTACGGATGATACGCAAACATAAAATTAAATTCCATTCAATTTTACTTCTTGCCTGGCTATATTTCCTTTTCTTCTTTCGTGTTGGATATGAAGGTGTAATGAATCATGTAATAACTCATCCACCGTACCAACCATTGCCTCAGACTATCGAAGAATTCATCGAGCAGAATTTCACCCTATTCGCCGATGATTCGACGAATCGTATTTTAGATTTTATACCCCACCTAAAAGAGATATCTCATGTCATACATTGTAATCCATTGGAGTTGTTGGAACAGCTGGATTCATTGCCACCGAAATTCGGTATAATCTCAACAGAGGCCTACATTGGCCACTTCATGAAAATGCACATGGAAAATCGCAGCGACTATTCCATTTTGGAAGAGATAATATTAACGGGAGTGAATTGTATATACTATCCGAGGGGCTCATTTCTAGCACCTGTGGTTGATGATATCTTGGATTGGCTAAGCAATTCGGGAATTCGTGATAAGTTGGTCAAGGAAATTGGCATGGAAAATGTTCCGCATAGTACAGCAGTTTTAAGACAATTTGTCTATGGCGGTAAACATTTTAAATTGAATTTCAATTTTCTGCAAATCGTCTTTAAAACTCTGGTAATTTGGCACTGTATTGCCGGGGGGATATTTTTGGGAGAAATTGTGACCTATAAGTTTTTGTCGAAGTGTATGTTGTATAAAAAAGTTGAAATAAAATTACAAAATTAAAAAAAAAAAGTTAAAAATTATGTTATGCATTCGGATTAAAAGAAAAAATTCAAAATTTAAATTAAATTGATGTGAAGTAAATTAGATTAATTTTAGTTATTAATTACTAAAATAAAAATTATATAAATTAACTAACTAAAAGATGTTAAAATTAATTAAATCAAAGTATACGGAATTATAAAAAATTAAAAAAATATATAAATTAAATTATATGAGAAAAATAAAATTAAACTATATTAAATGCAACTAAAATTAAATAACTTAAAATTAATAAGGCAAAAAATCTTAAGGCAGAAGTCTTTTAAAATAGCATCTCAAGGTCAACAAAAGAGCTTCTTGTCCAGGTATTCCTTATTTAGATGACTCTCTCCACGGCTTTCGGCTTTCGGGTCTGGGTCTTCTGGAGGTAGAAGACCTTCTCAAATCCTTTGGAGGTAGAGGACCTTATCGAGGTCATTTTAAAGTAGAAGACCTTCTCAAGATCTTCCGGAGACAGAAAATCTTCTGAATATCTTTAGAATATATCTCAGGGCCTTCAGGAGACCACAAGGTGGTCAGGGTATTATGAATTTGTGCATTTGTTTGTAACAGGCAAAAGGAAACGTCTGTCCGTCTGTCCATGTATTTTTGTAAACAGTACAGTTCGCATTTATTGCCCTATCCTGATGAAATTTTGCACAAATCATTTGTTTGGCCCAAAGACGAACCCTATTGAAATTGGAAATAATCGGTCAAATTTTGGATATAGCTCCCATATATATCTTCGTCCGATTTGCCTTTTACTGTGCACCAAACGTGTAATATCAGTCCGAATAGTATGGCATTTTGCACATACGATCAGGTTGGACCTGAAAGTAAGTATGCCAAATTTGATCGAAATCGGTTCAGATATAGCTATTGCTCCCATATATATTGTTCATCCGATTTGTTATTTTTGTCCTCCGCAGCCGTAATATGCACTCTGTAACAACAATATTTGGGGAAATATATCAAATACAGCTCAGAAATACATTTGCTAAATTTTATGGAGATCGGTTCAGATTTGGATATAGCTCCCATATATAACTTCGTCCGATTTACTTTTGATTGTGCACCAAACGTCTAATATTTGCCCAAATTGGATGAAATTTGGCACTTACGACCGAATTAAATCTAGAAGCTAGTATGTGAAATTTGGTGAAGATCGGTTCCGATTTGGATATAGCTCCTATGTACATCTTTATCTGATTTCAAATTAATTTTGCACCAAATGGGCAATACAAGTCCGAATTTAAAAGATACAAATGCTTACTTTGAACTTTAAATTATAATTATAATTATAATCATAGCGCGTATGATTGAATTCTCCCATAAAAACTTTTAATTGTTACGCGGAGCTCTACTAAATTAACAAAGTGATGTAGGGTATCATAATATCGGTCCCGCCCGACTTTAAAACTTTCTTTACTGGTTTTATCTTCCATCTTGCCCAAAATCAACAGATTCCAAGGAATCTTCGAAATCCGAAACTTTCTAGTTTTCTAGTTTTTTTTTTTTATATGAATTCTTGGCGTTAAGGCATGATATATATTTTTGACATCTTCTGGGACCTAAATTAGAATTTGATGACTATTAATTTAGTAGAATATTTTGATTTAATACAATTCCATTAAAAGGAAATTTTAACCGTTTTATGGAAAACGGAGCCCTTTGGTGACTTGCTATGAGGTAAAATTATTCTTCAATAATATTGGCATATGTATCTGCAATATTTTCAAAACACTATATAACAGATTCCAAAAAATCTTGGTCCGAAAATTTAAAAAATGCTGAATTTTCCCCTTATTTTAGGTTACTTTGCGATGTACACTTTCAAAACACCAAAACACGTGCCTTCAATTTTTTACCTCTATTTTTTATAATCTACGAGAATTTATCTGTAATTATTGAAAAAAAATGAATTTTGTAGCACAGTGTTATAAAAAAAACGTGTCATCCACATGACATCCCCACCCCACACTAGTTAGCATCTACTGATATTTTCACCCCCTTCTAGTTCGGGTTCATCAATTCCGTCCTATCGCAATTTTTACCGCCCAAAATCGTTGTACCCGGGCGTTGATGCATCGATTGGCCAATTTTCCCATTTTTTATATAGATGTACGCTCATTACTGTTTACTTTCACATAATCTCCAGAACAGTTGTTATACCCTACAACACTATATATCGAAATATTGGTTTCCCACATAGGGAAGCATATATGGATCTTCCTTTCTCGCCGAGCTGAGTCGATCTAGCTATGTATGTCCGTCCGTCTGTCCATGTTAATTTGTCATCAACCTACAGGTCGCAATTATGGCCCGATCCTCACGTAATTGAAAATTGAGGCGGGTTAGGGTCAGAATAGAAACCTATTGTTTTTGGGGATGATTCCAAAATATTTACGTGTTGAAATGGACCAAAAACAGAAAATTTTCCTGATTTTGCAGTTGTTGTATAGGCCACAATTATGATCCAATCGACGCGGAAATTTACATGAAGTTAGAGTTTAAAAGCCTTCCAATTTGGGACGCCATCGGACAATATTTAGCGGGTAAAATAGACTATAACTTTAATGTAAGAAAATAGGAAAGTTTCCACTAAATCGCGAATATTATTAATCTCAGCCAAATCTGAAATATTTTTAAAGGTCACTTCTGACCATTAAAGTGATGCTGATACCCAAGAAATCGGATTTATAGCAAAATAGGTACAATATATATGAAGAAATAGATCGTATTTATTCTGGTTATAACTCAAGAACCGCTGGGCAGATTTTCACAATTCCTATCAATTCGGAATGGTCTCTTGCCAAAAAAGGATAAAATCTTAGAAACTCGTGAAGAAAATGCCAATAAAAAATTGAATATCTTTTGTTCAATTTTTGACATATTTTTTATCGCATGCGATTTTTTCAATTTGACTTACAATTTTGAATTGAAAATTTTCTAATTTTTTACACCCCACAGCACTAAATTTTGTAGTGTATTATATGCATGTCGCAATTAGCGTCCGATCCACACGAATTTTTTTAGGGTCAGAATTAAAGCCCATTGTTCTTAAAATGTGCATTTAGGGGTTCGCTCACAATAAAACCAGGCCACAATTAAAAACCAATCGACACGGAATTTCGCATTAGACATTTTAACTGTAAAAAACTTTCGTGTGAAACGACGGAGTACCTAAATACTGGCCATATTCTCTTGGTCAAAAACCTAAGGGTAAGAACTGTGCTGGGCTCCGACATTATTTCAAAAATGAAATTGTCTAAGATGGATTTGAATATAAGGGGACTAATAACATTTTGTAGTGTTGTAGGGTATCTCATGACCGGCCCAGCACGACTATAGCCTTTGCTTATTCGTTTTTATGTTAAAAAAAAAACAACGAAAAATATAAAAAAAATCGGGTTCCTCAGGTAGCCTTCATTTAACCAAACAAATAAATATTGTTAAAAATCGTACTTTTATTACAAATTTAAAAAATTCACCACAGCCTGTAACCACCCCACCCTCGCACTGCTCAGCTCCAAGAGAAAAACCAGCACACAAAATATCAACAGGACACCATAAACAACAAAGATACCCAACAGCAGATGAAACGACAGCCTTGTTGGTTCACCTTGACTGCGCTGAGGCTTCCAAGCCACATAGAGGTAAATCGATTCGAATCTCTTCATTATCCCAGCCTGCAACATTTGCATTATCAATACACCCGTCTGCGCCCGGATATACGAATGGTGTGGCATGTAGAAAACAATGGGCGAGGTTACAACAGTTTCGGGTAGAATTTCCACACGTCGTGAAGGATTGCGCTGATTATACGACCGAATGGAATACTCCAGCAGACATAGGGCGATTTTCTCCTTGGTATTGGGATTGGAGATTTTTTCGAAAAGTACTGGCACCGAATTGACCGAATCTACGGTGCCCGTACTCGGTTGGGGATCTAAAAATTTCAGCACTGTTTCCACAGCTGGAAATGCATAGATGGTGTAGTTCCTTTCCACAATTTCTTGGAGCTTTTGGAAATTGTTGCGGGCCTTTCCATCCTGTAGGATGTTAAAAAGTTCCCCCGAATAGGCTGTTCTCAAAACCATCGTATACAGGATCCACACAGTTAGCAGGAAGCGAGCAAAATTTCTATAAGGCAGCTGACTGTAGACGGAACCACCCAGTAGGGTTGAGAGGAGATTTGTGAAGGGCAAACGATTGCCCTGGCCATAGATGAAGTCCATTAGCTTGGATTTGCCCAAAAATCGTATGTAGTATATAAAGAGAATGGCAAAAAAGAAACTGGAAGTAAAGCAAGACCAAATTATGTAGCGAAATGGTTTTATCAGGCGTTGAAATGCCGTCAGTGGTCGACCCTGGGGTATGGCAAGCAAATAGGGTAAATTCAAATAACTGGCACTAGCTGACATGACATCGGCCCGTTCCTTGTTGTACAGGTATGAGATAATTGTAATGTTGGCTTCCTTCTCCAGAATCTACAATATAGATGGGGAAAAATAAAAATCTATCCTGAAATTCTAAGATACTGATGTTCCTCACCATTTTCGCCGCCCCCGTTGCCGTACCATTCGGATAAATATCCCCTCTATCCTTCGCCTTGGGTTCCTTGATTTTTATCGTAAAATTCATACGCTCCGCCAGAAGAGATATCACCGAGCCCTCAATGCCATGTAACGATATCAGCTCTCCCGTCTTCTCATCCCGCTCCACAACAATGTAGGGTAAATATGTCCAGGTAATGACCGATAAACTGCAGCCATGCATATTCTCCACTTTTGTTGGAAATAGATTTTTACCCAGCGTGAAATTAGCATTCTTCTCAATGCCTTTAAAGGAGGCAAAGTAGCCCGGGCTCGATGAGTGGCATTTGTTGGGGGCAAAGGGAAAATAGGTATACAGGTATGGGTATTTACCCACCATCAACATGACATTAACATTCGTCACGTATATGTTGAAAAGTCGACGAAACATCTCCTTGATATTTGACAGGCGATCTGCTTCCAGCCCCGTATAAACCAGCACAAAATAACCGCTGCGATGGTAGTGTTGTTTGGGGTCTATTAAATCTCGTTCGAATTTTCTGAAATAACAATTTAATGTAATTTTTGGCAAAAAATTACGAAAAGTACTTGAAAAAATAATGCTTAAAAATCCACGCTGGGTGGTCTGTAAGTCCTTCTTTAAAAATCCACGTTTGGTGGCCAGTAAGTCCTTCAAAAAATTATTCTTTAAAAATTCACATTTGGTGGTCTGTAAGTCCTTCTTTAAAAATCCACGGTTGGTGGTCTGTAAGTCCTGGAAAAAAATATTTTCTGAAAATCCACGTTTGGTGGCCTGTAAGTCCTTGAAAAAAATATTTTCTGAATATCCACGTTTGGTGGCCTGTAAGTCCTTGAAAAAAATATTCTTTAAAAATCCACGTTTGGTGACCTGTAAGTCCTTGAAAAAAATATTCTTAAAAATCCAGGCTTGGTGGCCTGTAAGTCCTTGAAAAAATATTCTTAAAAAATCCAGGCTTGGTGGTCTGTTTGTCCTTCTTTAAAAATCCAAGTTTGGTGTTCTGTAAGTCCTTGAAAAAATATTCTTTAAAAATCCACGTTTGGTAGCCTGTAAGTCCTTGAAAAAAATATTCTTTAAAAATCCACGTTTGGTAGCCTGTAAGTCCTTGAAAAAATATTCTTTAAAAATTCAAGTTTGGTGTTCTGTAAGTCCTTGAAAAAATATTCTTTTAAAATCCACGTTTGGTGGCCTGTAAGTCCTTGAAAAAAATATTTTTTAAAAATCCACGTTTGGTGGCCTGTAAGTCCTTAAACAAATATTCTTTAAAAATCCACGTTTGGTGGCCTGTAAGTCCTTGAAAAAAATATTCTTTAAAAATCAACGTTTGGTGGCCTGTAAGTCCTTGAAAAAAATATTCTATAAAAATAAATATATCTATAAAAATCCAAAAATCCAATCCACGCTTGTAGTCTGTAAGTCCTTGAAAAAATATTCTATAAAAATCCACGTTTAGTGACCTGTAAGTCCTTGAAAAAATATTCTTTAAAATCCAGGCTTGGTGGTCTGTTTGTCCTTCTTTAAAAATCCACGATTGGTGACCTGTATATCCTTGAAAAGAAATATTCTTTAAAAATCCACGTTTGGTGGCCTGTAAGTCCTTAAAAAAATATTCTTTAAAAATCCAAGTTTGGTGGCCTGTAAGCGCTTGAAAAGAATGTTCTTTAAAAATTCAAGTTTGGCGGCCTGCAAGTCATTGAAAAAAATATTTTTAAAAATTCACGTTTGGCGGCCTGTGAGACTTTGAAGAAAATATTCTTTAAAAATCCACGTTTGATGGTCTGCAAGTTTTTGAAGAAATATTGTTTAAAAATACACGGTTTATGGTCTGTAAGTCTTTGAAAAAATATTCTTTAAAAATCCAAGCTAGGTGATCTGTAAGTCTCTGAAAAAATATGTTTTTCTCTTCGATATAAAATCATAATATTTACTTGTACGCCTCCAGGCTATCCAAAAACCATATGGATTTTTCACGATTTGCATAGCTCTTATAGAATCTCTCCAATAACTCCTCCGCGGACATGTGCTCCTCTGTTGTATCTTTGGGATAAATTTCCCCTTCCACTTGATATCTGATATGGGCTTCGGGCGTTTGAGCGCGACGCAAGACCTCATCAATTAAATCGCTTTGGAAACGGCGATTGCGCCAGTTAATGGCATATTGGCCAATTGTTACCGGCGACGTTGTATAGATGGCATAGTCTTTGTTGATAATCCAGACAATGGCCATAATCAGGGGCAAATTAAATGTTGGCTCGATGTTATCCAATGTCGTATTGAGTAATAGGCTCATGACATGTCACGTGTGGGTGTTTCGAATGAACGACGACTTTTCACTTTCTTCTTTTTTTAATCTTTTTGTTGTTTATGTTATAGGCGTTTACCGTCCGGCGGCATGTATCCGCTCGATGCCGTTTCGCTTTGACGACTAACCCCCACAGACGACATAGAAATATTTCCACGGTTTATGTTACATCTCTGTTTGGATTGTTGCATTCACGGCGGATATTAAAACTATTATTTAATTGTAATAATAATACAGCAACGTGCAAAGTACCATGGGACACGAAAGTGTGTTAACACCGCGAGTGACGTCAGTAATTCACATGTTGTTGTATTTAATTGGAAATTCATAATCCTTAACAGGCAAAATATTAAGTAGAGAATAATTTCGAAAAAAAAAATAGACTCAACGGCTGACTTTAAGAATTTTTTGATTTTCATTACTTAAAGAAATCGGTCGAAAATATATATGATAGCTATTTCAATTTTGTTTTATTTTTCTTCAATGCTCCGTTACTCTATTAAAACTTTGAAAACTGTATCTGTAATTTGAAAACTGTATTTTCACACCTGCTATAATATAGGCAAAAATATGTTGTTAAGTTGGATAACAATTGGACACCGCGTTAACATTTAACGAAAGATAAAATATAAATCTTTGTAGGGGATACAGGACTGGATCAATTTGTCAGTTTTCACACCTGGCCTAAAAGTATAGCTAAATATGTTTTTATACCCTCCACCATAGTATGGAGTGTATATTAAGTTTGTCATTCGGTTTGTAATACCTCGAAAATTAATTTTTAGACCCAACAAAGTATACACATTCTTGATCAGCATACAATTTTATGTCGATTTAGCGATGTCCGTACGTCTGTCCGTCTGTGGAAATCACTATAGGTTCCGAACGAAATAAAGGTTGATAATAATAGGAAATAGGTTGATAAAATGTTACTCAAATGTATATTATGTCTGCAGGACTTTTAGTATTGCAAATAGGCCATGTAGGTCCACGTTTTGGTATAGACACCATATAATGGTACATCCCTATTCTCGGTATTTTGGTACATTATTCACGGGAATTGTTAAAAATGTGGTAGTTGAAGTTCGTAACAAGTACTACGACAGAAAATTGTCCGTGCAGGTCCACGCCATCGTATAACGGCACCTCCCGATATTTGGTATTTTGATGATTTTAGCGACATTACTCACCGGAATTGTTTAAAATTTGGTATATGAAGTTCGTAATCGATACTACAGCCTATGACAGAAAATTTTCTGTGCAGGTCCACGTTTTGGTATAGCCCCCATATAATGGTACCTTCCTATAGTCAGTATTTTTATACCCTACAACACTATGTGTTGGGGGTATTATAAGTTTGATTGGGCAAAACATTATGTAACACCTCGAAATATTGGTTTCTCACATAGGAAAGTATATATAGATCTTCCTAGCTCGCCGAGCTGAGTCGATCTAGCTATGTATGTCCATCCGTCTGTCCGTCCGTCTGTTCATGTTAATTTGTAATCACTCTACAGGTCGCAATTATGGCCCGATCTTCACGAAATTTAGAATGGGGGTGGGGCTGGACCAAAAACTGAAATTTTTCCTGATTTTGCAGTTGCTCTACTGGTCGCAATTATAGACCAATCGAAAAATAGCATGGGGCTAAAGCTTAAAGCTGGGCAGAAGCCTTCCAATTTTGATGGTCATCGGGTAATATTTAGTGGGTAAAATAGGCCACAACATTTGTGTTAAATAAAAGTCAAAATTTTCATTGAACCGCGAATATTTTTAATGCCGGCGAAATCACAAATAGACGAACTGGTCAATTCTGACCGTTATGTAGATGCCGATAGTAAAAATATCGGATATATATGGCGAAATATATACAATGTATATATATAAAGGGAGGGGATGTTAGCTAGAATGCTTATATCTCCAAAATGGCTGGAGCGATTTTGACAAGTTTTGTAAATTTAGAATGCCCTTTTGGCATAAAAGTTAGGCATGAAGTTAGGTTAGGACAGCGAGTAGAATGGACCACTACTTTTGTGTGAAAAAAAAAATACCAGCATTACTTACTGCATGGACCACAACAACTAACAGCACGGCGGGTGCTAAGGGTAATATCTGTGCAGTGCTCCGTGACATAATTTCAAAAGCGAAATCTTCCAAAAGGGATTTGGACATAAGGGGGCTTCTAACATATTGTAGTGTTGTAGGGTATCACATGGTCGGCCCCGCACGACTACAGCCTTTGCTTACTTGTTATGATTATATCTACATTATTCACCGATTTTTTTGCATTTGAATACTGTAATGGCTTGAAAATTGCCAAATTCGTTCCAAATGGTGGAGTGTATTAAATGTTCGGCCCGCCGAACTTAGCTGCTTTTTAACTTTTTTTTTTTTTTTTTTTTGTTAAGTGAAAATGTTTTTATTTTTTATGGATCGAAATCGATACGAGTTTGGTAAATCAAGTTAAAATGTATCAGTCGGTTTTGCCGTCAGATACATGAATACTTCCGTATTCACATTAGATCTCAGGTTGAGAAAAACATTCAGATATACCAAGTTTACATAGAATCACTGACTTGTATAGCAAGTTATGTGTAATTTAAATATATGAAATTGTAACCCTTAGTGGGAGAGGTAACAGAAGTGGTAGGTCGAGAAGTACCACAAGGGGTAGGTCTTCACGCCAGATCTTGTGTTAATAAACATATTTTGAGGAGAAATAGAAACTTATTTAACATTTATGTGCGTTTTTATACGCTCCACCATGGACAGGAGGGTATATTAACTTTGTCATTCCGTTTGTAACATCCTTAAATAATCGTCGTAGACCCCATAAAGTATATATATATATTCATAATCAGCACAAAATTCTAACTCGATTTCACGATGTCCGTCTGTCTGTCTGGCTGTCCGTCTGTCTGTTGAAATCACGATACAGCCCACATTATTTGACGTAGAGCGCAAAGCAAAATTTAGCAGAGCAATTTGTATTGTGTGTAGGATGGTTGGTATTGAAAATGAGATATATCGGTCCACGTTCTGGTATAGTCCCCATATAACGGTACCTCCCAATATTCGGTATTTGTTGGTCATAATGGGTTCCAGCTCCGTTGGCGAAACATTGTATTTATAGGTCCACGTTTTTGTATAGTCCCCATATAACGGTACCTCCCAATATTCGGTATTATGGTAATTTTTGACACATTTTTTCACGGATTTGTTGAAAATTGGTAGTTGTAGATCATAATGGGTCCCAGTTCGTGTGGCGAGTCATTGAAATTATAGGTCCACGTTTTGGTATAGCCCCCATATAATGGTACCTCCCGATATTCGGTAATTTGATGATTTTTGCCAAATTTTTTCACGGATTTGTCTGAAAATTGGTATTTCTAGGTCATAATGGGTTCTAGCTCCTTTGGCGAAACATTGCATATGTAGGTCCACGATTTGGTATAGCCTTCATATAACGGCACCTCCCGATATTCAGCATTTTAATAGTTTTTGGCACATTTCTTCTAATGTTTCCTTTACCCTAAGGTGGAGGGTATTAAAAGTTTGGCCCGGCCGAACTTAATGTTTTTTTACTTGTTCAAACTTTTTTTTTGGGGGGGGGGGGGGGGGTACCCGAAGAAGTGGGTCGATATTTTCAATTTTCACATCTAACCTAGCTCTGAAACAAATATGAGACTGGCAAAGCAACAGAATAGCACAAAATCGAATCATCCCTGCTCTTTCTCTGAACGACTTTGTTCATCTCCGAAACCAATTTAATTAGGACAATACTATTACGATGTACCAATTTTGTACCAATTCGGATGCTACATTCGGCACCAGCCAGACGTACATTTTGGTCTCATCAAAAAACCTACAAGACTATTTTTATCTACCAAAAAACACTACAACCTAACATATTCAAAGTTTTGAAACATACTGTAGATGCAATCTTCAGTTTATTTGCATAGACCTCACAGCGTATAAGCGTAGTCATTACGTATACGCTTTAATGTCCCATTACGTTTAGCTGCGTAAACTGATTATTGTATTATTGTTTGTTTAATTAAATGTATACAATTTGTATGTGGAGCCTTAACTGAAGTGTATTAATTAAAAATGAAAACAAAAAAAAAATCTACAAAAATAGAATTGTCTTTATTGGCATACAACATACTCGTAATTATGTCATTAAGACGGACAAAGGGAAGTTCGAAATATAACTGTAAGTATATTTTAGGAAATATGTTTTTTATACCCTCCACCAAAAAAAGTAAGTTAGTCATTCCGTTTGTAACTCATCGAAATAATCATTTTAGACCCAACAAAGTATATATATTCTTGATCAGCGTAAAATTCTGTCCGTCTGTTGTAATCACGCTACAGTCTAAACGAATTAAGATAGGAAGCTAAAATTTTGCACAGATCCCTCTTTTGTCTGCAGGCAGGTCAAGTTCGAAGATGGGCTTTATCGGTCCACGATATCGTATAGCCCCAATATAACGGTACCCCCGATATTCGGTATTTTGATGATTTTAGCCACATTTTTATACCCTACAACACTTTGTGTTGGGGGTATTATAAGTTTGATTGGGCCAAAAATTATGTAACACCTCGAAATATTGATTTCCCACATAGGAAAGTATATATGGATCTTCCTATCTCGCCGAGCTGAGTCGATCTAGCTATGTATGTCCGTCCGTCCGTCTGTCCATGTTAATTTGTAACCACTCTACAGGTCGCAATTATGGCCCGATCTTCACGAAATTTAGAATGGAGTTGGGGATAAGGTCAGAATAGAACCCTATTTCTTTTGTAGATGATCGCACAATATTTAGGGGTCGATATGGACCAAAAACTGAAAAAATCCTGATTTTGCAGTTGCTCTACAGGTCGCAATTATGGACCTTCCGATTTTGATGGTCATCGGGTAATATTTAGTGGGTGAAAAAGACTATAATATTTGTGATAAATAAAAGTCAAATTTCCACTATACCGCGAATATTTTTAGTCCAGGCGAAATCATAAATAGACGAGCAGGTCAATTCTGACCGTTACGTAGATGCCGATAGTAAATATATCGGATATGTATAGCGAAATATATACAATGTCTATATACAATAGAAAGGAATGTTAGATGGGATGTTTATATCTCAAGAATGGCTGTACCGATTTTGACAAATTTTGTCAATTCAGAATGCCCTCTTGACATAAAAGTATAAAATCTAAAAAAATCGCATAAAAATAAGTCAAAAATGATCTTAATATAGATTTTTTAGTATTTTGTGACATTTTTTTTACTTTTTCATATTTTTTATCGCATGCGATTTTTTCAATTTGACTTATAATATTAAGGTGTACATTTTGTAATATTTTTCCACCTTAAAACACAGGTTTGGGATATTATATACAGATTGCAATTATCGTCCGATCCTCACGAAAAGGGTAGGGTTAGGCTCAGAAGGGCTAGGCCTATTGTTTTCAAAGATGTCCGCAATATATTTAGGGGTTGAAATGGACAAACAGCTAAAACTGTTCCTGATTTTGCAGCCGTTATAAAGGTCATAAAGAGAGTTTAGGACAGCGTGTAGAATGGACCACTACTTTTGTCTGAAAAATACCAACATTACTTACAGGCGATAGCCGAAATACACAAAATGCGAACTTCTGCCTTTTTATACCCTACAACACTATGTGTTGAAGGTATTATAAGTTTGATTGGCCCAAAAATTATGTAACACCTCGAAATATTGGTTTCCCATATAGGAAAGTATATATGGATCTTCCTAGCTCGCCGAGCTGAGTCGATCTAGCTATGTATGTCCGTCCGTCCGTCTGTCCGTCTGTCCGTCTGTCCGTCTGTCCATGTTAATTTGTAATCACTCTACAGGTCGCAATTATGGTCCGATCTTCACGAAATTTAGAATGGAGGTGAGTTTGGGGTCAGAATAGAACCCTATTTCTTTTGGAGATGATCGCCAAATGTTTAGGGGTTGAAATGGACCAAATACTGAAAAAATGTCGGATTTTGCAGTAGCTATACAGGTCGCAATTATAGACCAATCGACGCGGAATTTCGCATGTAGCTAGAGTTTAGGGCGGGGAAGAGGCCTACCAATTTGGGTGGTCATCGGATAATATTTAGCGGGTAAAATAGACCATATCTTTTGTGTTGAAAAAATTCACAATTTTTCATTAAACCGCGAATATTTTAAATCCCTGCGAAATCACAAAGCCATGACAAGGTTACTTCTGATCTCTACATTGATGTTAACATCCAACAAAACGGATATATAGAAAATATGTGCGATATATATGTTTATCAAAGGAGATATGCTTGAAAAATCTCTTATATGTCGAGAACGGCTGAACTGATTTCGACAGTTCTCATTAATTCAGAATGGCCTCTTGGCAGGAGAGAAAAAACGTCTAAAAAAATCTCATAAAAATATCTCGCTAAAGATGAAAATATTGATTTTGTAAAATTTTCTCATATTTTTTAAATTTTGTCATATTTTTGGCATATTTTCATTTTGAATTAAACATTTGGTAATATTTCTACAGCTAACAAAACTAAGTAGTTGGGATATCAGGATATCATATACAGATCGCATTTATGGCCCGATCCTTACGAAATTTTGCATGGGGATAAGATGAGGGTCAGAATAGAAGCCTACTCTTTTTGGAGATGATCGCTATGTATTTAGGGGTTGAAATGGACCAAAAAAACTGCAAAATTGTCGGCAGGTCGTAATTATCGCCCGATCCTCACGCACATTTGAAGGGGGGTTATCGGACATTGCAAAAGCCAAGCAGTTTTGGATGGCCATCCAAAAATATTCAATGTGTGAAGGAGTTTGCCAACTTTTATAGACAAAATACGAAAATGTCCATTTTAGTGACTTTTTGGAGAATTCACAAATACAGGAAAGACGCACTTCTGACTATTTCGCTAACGCTGGTTTCGTTGAAGAATATAGTCAAATGTCTGTATCTCATATAGCTGCGTTTCAGTCAAAAACCAATAATAAATGTAAATCTTTTGCCACAGATCTAGGAAGACCATTTAAGTGCAACATCTACCAATAAATTGGAAATGAGCAAATTAGCTTAAGTTGCTATTATTCGAAAATTAGAGAACGGAACCTGATGGTTTTCTTTTATTATTTGTCACAATATCTTGTGGAATTCTTTCGAGTATCTCGCCTATATAAACTGTATGGCTTATTATAGTGTTGTAGGGTATTCAACGGTCGGCCCCGCTCGACTGTAGCCTTTGCTTACTTGTTTTGCTGATTTCTTTGACAAATATAGCCAAATATCGTAGACAAGAAGATCGTAAATTTGGAAATACAGAGGAGCCTCTTGCTTTTGGAGATGATCGCAAAATACGAAGGAGTGCGTAAATATTGGGCAAATGTCCCTGTTCAAAATACTAAGGGTAATATCTGGGCAGTGCTCCGTCACATAATTTCAAAAGCGATATCTTCCAAAATGGATTTGGACATAAGGGGGCTTCTAACATATTGTGGTGTTGTAGGGTATCACATGATCGGCCCCGCACGACTATAGACTTTGCTTACTTGTTTTTCAACTGATTCCGTTACCAACAAACAACAATTGATTTATATATATATATATATAGATATATTTGAACAAATTTTATTTAACACCAACAATATTTAATATTTCTATATACATTGAAATTATCTTCAAAATTCCGATCCTTCATTAATCCATTGATTTTTTCTCGGACGTTTAGGGCCCCACCATCTTCGACGTTTCTTGCGAGCCCAAACACTTACTCGATGAACAACAACTTCTGCCACAAAAACACCCACGCAACCCAGCAAACAGATACCCAACAAATTCAATGCCCCACACAGCTGATACAAATCCATGGCACTGGGTTGATCATCGGCCTGCAATTTTCGAAAGGTATTCTTAAATATCAAATATTTCTCCCAGCGATGCATTAGGCCCTCATTCGTATAGCTAGTGATGTACATATTGAAACGATTCAAAAACATGGAATTTTTCATCATATAAATACTCAGCTGCTGGGTGAAGAAGATCTCTGGAACGAGATAGAAATCGTTGTTGTTCTGATTCAGATATTTAAAATAGCCATAATATTCATAGGCTGTGAGAATTGCAGTCTTTCGATCGAAGCCATATTTTTCCGGTTCATTGAGTATGGCAAAACTTTCCACTTCGCTGTCATTCAAAACAACTGCCACGTCGTAGAGGGCCTTTAAATGTTTAATGCCCTGATAAACCACCTCCGACATAAGGATCGTATAATTCTCCTCCCGCAATTGTTGTATGGACTTGGGCGGTGGCTTGTGGATATCATGACGCAGGAAGTGATACATAAACCCTTGATATATGGTACGCAAAACAAACGAGGCCAACAGCCACACCATCAACAGGAAACGGGAAAATGGCACCTTAGGGTCGCGGGCTACGGGGCCACCCAGACTTATGATTACCATATTATATATGGGACGTTGTTTCTTCCGACCCAATACCAAATATTTTATTTGGCGATCTACTTGAGTTATGGAAAATAGGATGACATTTCCAATAACCAACAACAGTATTAGAATGAACCAAATTTCGGTTTTGAATGGCAGCAGCAACTTGACGAACGGATCATAGGGATCAGTTTTGGCCGACACCACAAAATAAAAGGAACTCAAAAAGTAATTTGTTGTTGGGGTGAAGGTATCATAAAAAGAGGTGGGTTTGTCGTGAAATGCCCCAATAACAAAATCCGTGCCCGTCGAGAAGAGCTGTAAGAAAAACAAAAAAGAAAGAAAAACTCGAGAAATAAATATACAAAGAGAGCAAGTTCTCCACTCACCTCCTCCAGCATGCCACTTTCATCATACAGCGTACGATTGATCTCTTCATCGTTCATCCAGCGTATGGCCACCGTGAAATTCATACGTTCCGACAGATAATCCAACATTCTCCCCTCTAGACCCTTAAATCTTTGGTTCTTTGCCGACGTCTCGTTGGAGAGAACTTCGAAATATGGCATATCCTCCCAGGTGGCACAAACCAAGGGGCATCCATATAAATTACTTGCTTTCGATATGTAAAATCCTGTATGATTCCATTGACCACTTATAAACTTATTATTCACAACCGGCACATTGGCATTGCAATGGAATTCGGAGAAGGGTTCATCATGAAAAAGGAGAATGCTATTTAGCCCAGCATAGACGAGAACATTGGCATGCGATATACCTGCATCCAAACATGTCTGCAGAGATCGATACAATTCATCGTAATAATGATTGGGAGAGGGCAATGTGTACAGAACTATAAAATAGGATCCCTCAATAAACAGATGGTATTTGATTATGTTTGTGTAGAGGTATCTGGAAAGGAAGAAAAAGAAATATTCTGATACTAAGTTGTGAGAAATCAAACAGAAATAAGTTAGTTATTCTGGTGCTTAGGACTATACCATCTGAAATCTACCAGTCCAATTTTGATAATTTTCTCACCTCGCTTAAGACTTATACCAAATCGGATACTCTTTTAGAGAGCAATCGTGTGCAACATTTATTGATCCAAATGTCTTTAAACAAATTTGGTATTTGAAGTTCGTAATGCATACTACAGCCTTTGTATAGCCTCCATATAGCGGCACATCCCTATTTTCGGTATTGTGATTGTGACATTATTCACCGGAATTGTTTCAAATTTGGTATTTGAAGTTCGTAATATATACTGCAGCCTATGACAGAAAATTGTATAGCCCCCAAATAACGGTACCTCCCGATATTCGGTATTTTGATGATTTTAGCAACATTATTCACCGGAATTGTTTCAAATTTGGTAGTTGAAGTTCGTAATGGATACTACAGCCTATGACAGAAAATTGTCTTTGCAGGTCCACGCCTTCGTATTTCCCCCAAATAACGGTTCCGCCCGATATTCGGTATTTTGGCAATTTAAGCGACATTATTCACCTGAATTGTTTCAAGTTTCGTATTTGAAGTTCGTAATGGATACTACAGCCTATGACAGAAAATTGTTTGTGCAGATCCACGTTTTGGTATAGCCCCCATATAACAGCACCTCCCTATATTCGGTATTTTGATGATTTTCACGAAATTATTCACCGATTTGTATACCCTCCACCTTGGAAGGAGGATATATATTAACTTTGTCATTCCGTTTGTAACATCCTAAAATATTCGTCGTAGACCCCATAAAGTATATATATTCATAATCAGCATAAAATTCCAAGTCGATTTAACGATGTCCGTCTGTCCGTCTGTCTGTTGAAATCACGATACAGCCCACATTATTTGACGCAGAGCGCCAAAATTTAGCAGAGCAATTGGTATTCTATCTAGGGTGGTTGGTATTGAAAATGAGATATATCGGTCCACGTTCTGGTATAGTCCCCATATAATGGTACCTCCCAATATTCGGTATTTTGATGATTTATGGCACATTTTTTCACGGATTTGTCTGAAAATTGTTATTTGTAGGTCATAACGGGTCCCTGTACGTGTGGCAAAACATTGCATGTATAGGTCCACGTTTTGGTATAGCCCCCATATTATGGTACCTCCCGATATTGGATATTTTGATTATTTTTGCCACATTTTTTAACGGATTTGTCTAAAAATTGGTATTTGTTGGTCAAAATGGGTTCCAGCTCCGGTGGCGAAACATTGCATGTATGGGTCCATGATTTGGTATAGCCCCCATATAACGGTACCTCCCAATATTCGGTATTTTGATGGTTTTTGGAACATTTTTTCACTGTTCCTAGTTCGTGTGGCGAAACATTGTATGTATAGGTCCACGTTTTGGTATAGCCCCCATATAACGGTACCTCCCGATATTCGGCATTTTAATGGTTTTTGCCACATTTCTTCTAATATTTCCTTTACCCTAAGTTGGAGGGTATTAAAAGTTTGGCCCGGCCAAACTTAATGTTTTTTTTTTACTTGTTTTATGTTTCGCATTTGAATATTTTAATGGCTTATGACAAAAGTTGCCTACGCAGATCCACATCATCGTATAGATTTTAGCATAATTTTTAAAGGATTTTATTATTTTTAAAATTGCCAAATTCTTTCTAAATCGTGGAGGGTTCGGCCCGGCCGAACTTACAGGTTTTTTACTGTTTTTTTTTTTTTTTTTTTTTTTTTGGTTGCCAACGTTTTGGTGGATACCCATAAAAGTTTCTGACCGATTTCACTCCAAATAGTAATATTATATTTTAGAACATTAATATAAAAAAAAACACTTTCTCGTATTGTAGGTCAGGCTATTGAAATGCCCAGTTTTTTGAGATATTGGAGCCCTAGCCAAATTTTTCAAATGTTACTATTATCATTGTCATTGAAAATGTATATTTAGGATTTGTGTCTCACATCCAGATTAAATTTTTTCTGAACATTTTCAAAAATAAAACAATTTTTGCAACGAAATATAAATGCCATCACAATCTCTAAAAATAAAAAATACATAACTCATACTCACTCCAATGACTCCGTTGAGTCGACCAACAAAACGCTAAAATGTATTTGATTCGACACCGGTATTGGTATATCGTTGCTGAGATAAATCGAAATTCGGCCATCCAATAGTGACCACATTGCTCTCACGATGTCATTGAAGAAATGTCTATTTTGAGGATTTTGAACTTTGATATGCACATTGAAACTGCGTCGACCATATTTCTCCAAAAAGAAACTATCAATCATTTCAACCAAAGCTTCGGAAATATTATGGGCAATTTCTTGATGATTTAATTCCAGCACCTGAGGACAGCCGATTGCCGTGGCATGGCTGATGAGCGTTGAAAAAATGATGAACAACCGTAGCTTTGGAACGTTGGAACAATAAACCGTTGACATGATGACACGCAAACGGCGTTTAAACAAATACTAAATGTTTGATGGCAATAATGATTGGATTTGGTCATGCCTAACAGATAGGCCGGACAGGCTGAATATTTGTAGAATATATGAATATAGTATTCAGAGTTAAGGTTGAAAAGTTTTCCGTGATGCGTTTCAAATTTTTATTTCAATATAATAACAAATAAAATAATTGAGAGAAGCTTCTCTTTTCTCTTCCTCTCTCTCGGTATTTGATTTGGAATACAGGGTGATATAAAACACTGCAACAAAGTCAAACGCCATAATTTTTGCATTTTTTTTTTTTTTCAAATTATTGAATGAAAGCAAAAAGTGTCGGAAATAGCATGACATTTTAGAATAGGTTTAAATTTGTTCGAATTGGTCACCTTTGGCTCGAATTATGGCCTTCAAACGGCAAATGAAACCGTCACACGCTGCCCGAATGTTGCTCTGCGGTATTTTGGGCCATTCCCGGCGAAGCGCTTGCACTTTGGTATTTCTAGTGCCAACCTTGTATTCCAAAATACTCCAGACACAATAGTTCAACGGATTGGTATCCGGAGATTTTGGTGGCCATTGTGCGCTGGAACTGAAGCGTAGAACCTCATTTTGTAACCGTTCTCCGGTGGTGCGTGCTGAGTGCGATGATGCCGAGTCCTGTCGGAATGTCAAAGGTCTGCGGCCCAAAAGGTTTGCGTGCCCGTGGCTATAATACACCCTCCAGAATATTTTCGCTATAATATTCGGCTTTTATGGCGGCCCACACAATCACCATGGCCGGCGCTTGAGTTCTGGTGGCCAACCGAAAGTGCACATTTTAAGCTGACGTTTACAAACTGCTGGACAACGAATGTTTTCTCATCGGAACGGAGAAAAAACAAATTCGGCAGTTCACCACTTCCGGCCAACTCTTTAGCTCTTTTGAGTCTATTTTCTTTCTGTTGCGGTGTAAGTTCATGCACTTTTTGGAATTTCAATGGCTTTACCCCGAGCTCATTTTTTGAATATTTGCCGAATGGAATATTCCGATATGTTCAGCTCACGAGCCGTTTTTCGACCACTGCAACGCGGGTTTCGATCAAGTCGCTTCTTTACCTTTCGAACCATTTCTGCTGATGTTGCTGTTTTCTTCCGTCCACTTCCTTGACTACGGGCTAGGCCACCAGTATCACGGTAACGAGCGATGGTATGAGACACAAACGATTTTTTCACATTTAAATGCTGGAGTGCTCTAACGATAGCCACTTGTGGTTTTCCAGCCAAATATAAAGAAATCACACTATCCCGCTTGAATTCCATCACGAATAACTTTTTTTCTGAAAAATTCTCACCAAAATTCTTTTGTACGCTTGTAAATAATACAATGAGCTGTCACTGGAATAATTTGAACAGCTGTCGGACGGCTGGCTTAGAAATGCCAGCAGTTTGAAGTTGGTTGCAGTTTTTTCATCTCACATAGTTGGGTCTGACATCAGTATTGCGAGTAGTTACAAACAGAATGACGGAGATAATATACCCTCCATAGTAAGGTGGAGGGATAAAGGTCCTAATTCGAACTGAAAAAAAATTTTAAGGTGGACTTTTCGCACTGGCATTTATTAGCTTCGATATAAAATGACACGTTTTCTTTTTTTTTTTGAACTTAATCAATCCATTGATATTTCATTTGACTTTTTCGCCATCTCCTACGACGTCTCTTAACCCATAGACCCAAATAATGAACCAAAATTTCTCCCACAAAAACCCCAAAACATATTGCCAAACAAATCATCCACAAATTCCAGGCCCCATATAACTCATAAATTCCTAAGGCTTTGGGTTGCTCATCGCTGCTCATTTTACGAAAGGTATTCTTCGTCAACAAATGCTTCTCCCAGCGATGCATCAGACCCTCGTTAATAAAACTCTTGATGTACATATTGAAACGATTCAAGAATATTGAATCCTTCATCATGTAAATACTTAGCTGCTGGGTGAATAGCACCTCCGGCACCAGATAATAACCCTGATTGTTGCGATGAAACCACCGAAAGTAACCGAAATATTCATGCGTTGTCAATATGGCAAGTTTTTCGAAGCCATATTTTTTCGGCTCATTTACCATGGGAAAACTTTCCAGTTCAGTGGTATTCAAAACGACGGCCCTCTCGCGTAGCTTTTTGACATGTTCCACGCTGTTATAAATATATTCGGAAATAAAAATTGTATAATTTTCTCTTAGCAGCGCATCTATGGTTTTTGGGGGAGACTTATGCACATCATGCCTTAGGAAGTGATACATCAGACCCTGATAAATGGTACGCAAGACAAAAGATGCCAACATCCATACCATGAACAGGAAACGTGAAAATGGTATCTTCGGATCTCGCGAAATGCCACCACCCAAACTTATGACGAACGTATTGTAAATGGGACTATGGGGATGTCTGCCAAAGAGAACATATTTTAGGTGGCATTTGGTTTTCATGACTCCGATTACTAAGGCATTGCCCAGCACCAACATCCAGATGAGTATCAGCCAAACTTTGCTACGAAATGGTAGCAATAGTTTTGAAAATGGATCATATGGATCGGTGTAGGCTGAGATCACAAAGTAGAAAGTGCTCAGAAAGTAGGTGGTTGTGGGCGTGTAGATATCATCGAACGATGTGGGTTTGTAGTGGAAGCCGCCAATGACAAAATCTGCACCTTCGGCGAAGAGCTGGAAGAAATAAATGACAACACAATGGGAACTCAAAAATCATGTTTCCCCTTACCTCCTTCAAAATACCCCTTTCATCATAAAGCGTACGATTAATCTCATCCTCTGTCATCCAACGCATTTTAACCGTAAAATTCATGCGATTCGCAATGTAATCCAGCATTCTTCCCTCCAGACCCCGGAAATGTTCTGTTGATGTTGATTCCGGCAAAATTTCTAAATATGGCATCTCCTCCCAGGTGGCACAAACCAACGGACAGCCATACAAATTATTTACCTTGGGAATATAGAATTCCATATGCTCCCATTGGCCATGGGAGAATTTGTTATCAATTACCGGTACATTGGCCCAACAGTGGAATTCGGTAAATGGTAGATCGTGAAATAATAGTATCGTGTTTTGACCAGCATAGACAAGGATGTTGGCATGTGATATGCCTGCATCCAAACACAGCTGGGAGGCCGTGTACAACTCATCGTAGTAATGATAGGGTGCGAGCCAAGGATACAGCACAATGAAATAGGAACCCTCAATGTAGAGATGATGTGTGATAATATTTCTATAGAGATATCTGTAAAGAGAGAGAGGGAGAGAGAGAGAGAAATAAGCCACCTGAGTCATGGTAAGAAAATATAGGGGGTACGAAAAAGTAAATTTTGTACATTTTCTGAACTTTTTAATGTGAATTTCCATGTATACGGAAATTTTATGTTCCATTTAAATATTCTAGTTCGATTTAAATATTCTACATCGGTATATTTTTATACCCTCCACCTTGAAAGGGAGGGTATGGTCGTCTGTGAAAATAACTCTAGCTTCCGAACGAAATGAAGAAATGAATGTATATTATGTCTGCAGGACTTCTGGTATTGAAAATGGGCAACGTAGGTCCACGTTTTGGTATAGTCCCCATATAATGGTACCTCGGTATTTTGGTAATTTAAGATACTTTATTAACCGGAATAGTTTTAAATTTGGCATTTGAAGTTCGTAATAGATGCTGCAGCCTATGACAGAAAATTGTCTGTGCAGGTCCACGCCTTCGTATAGCCCCCATATAAAGGCACCTCCCAATATTCGATATTTTGACGATTTTAGCGACATTATTCACCGGATTTGTTTCAAATTTAATATTTGAAGTTCGTAATAGATACTACAGCCTATGACAGAAAATTGTTTATGCAGGTCCACGCCTTCGTATAGCCCCCTTATAACGGCACCTCCCGATATTCGGTATTTTGACGATTTAAGCGATATTTTTCACCGGAATTGTTTCATATTTAATATTTGAAGTTCGTAATAGATACTACAGCCTAAGACAGAACATTGTCTGTGCAGGTTCACGTCTTCGTATAGCCCCCATATAGCGGTGCCCCCCTATATTCGGTATTTTGATGATTTTAGCTACATTATTCATCGAATTTTGTATTGGCTTATGACAAAAGTTGTCTATGCAGATCCACGTCGTCGTATAGACCTTAAAATGGCGTCTGCATTCGGTATTTTATAGAATTTTAACAGAATTTTTAACGGTTTTTTTTTTTTTTTTTTTTTTTTTGGTGGAGGGTACTAAAAGTTCGGCCCGTCCGCACTCACAGTTTTTGTACTTGTTTTTACTTATTTGACAGACAATAGTACCATATAGTGTTAACTCCAGAACTATTGTAGTTTTTATACCCTCAGCCTACGCCTACAGTGGGTATATATCATTTAATATGGCCAGAACGTGCTTCATCGAAATAACGATTTTAGGTCCTAGGTTCGTTTGGACAAACTTCGTTTCAGGAGTCGATCGTTTGGAGTCGATCTAGGGTTGTCCGTCCGTCTGACGGGCTGGATGGTGTGCATAATAACTCTTGAAGGGAGCATCCGATTTGATTCAAACTTGTAGATGGGCGATATGGGTCGACTCCTTCTGCCTACCTCCCCCACCGAAGTAAAATTTTTCTCAAAAAATATATTTTTCGTATAGAACAAGAAGGATAATCAAATTTTGTTTAAATTTTTCAAATCCTAATATCTGTATCAGGTGTGAAAATGGACAATATTGATCCACTGCGTCGTGTGCCTCCGCCACAAAGGGTCGAAATTTTGAATTATTATAACTCTTATAAAATACGAAATAAGCATACGATTCTCTTCAAATTTCACACATCCCATCATTTTTATTAACACAAGATCTGATGTGAAGATGGGAATCGGTCCACTGCTTTCGGTACCCCCCCCCCCCCACAAAGGGCTAAACATTTTGAATAACTACGAAGCTCAAAAAACGCATGAGCATCCGATTATTTTCAAACTTTACAATTCCTATTATTTTTATCGACACATAATCAGGTGTGAATGAAATATATCAGACCACTTGACCGCTACAACAGTCAAAAACGCGAATTAATCATCTGATTCCCTTCAAATTTCTCACATTAAAATATTTCCATTAACACAAAATCTGGTGTGAAGATGATAGATATATGTGCACTTCTTCTTGTACCTCCCCCCAAAAAGAGTCACAATTTTTAATACTTATAGATTTCGAACACTTTTAGCGCTTCTTTTAAAACTTGGCAAACGCAGGTCCGATGTGAATTTTGATAAACAATTTTTGACATTATCTTGGAAATAAATATTAGATTCTCTTTGTCCCTGATTCGTACCAATATTTTTTATACCCTCCATACTATGTATGTTCGTCATTCCGTTTGTAACCCATCGAAATGATAATTATAGACCCAACAATTTATATTAATATTCTTGATCAGTGTAAAATTCTAAGACGATTTAGCCCTGTCCGTCCGTCCGTCGGTCAAAACGAATTAAGATGGGAAGCTAAAATTTTGCACCGATCTGTCTTTTGTCTGCAGGCAGGTCAAGTCCGAAGATGGGCTATATCGGTCCATGATATCATATATCCCCCATATAACGGCACCTCCCGATATTCGGTTTTTTAATGATTTCAGCCATATTGTCAATGGAATTGTCTGAAAAGCCACACAAGGAGTTCCTTGTGAGTTTTCTATCTCCTGGAAGAGGTCCACGATATTGTATAGCCGCCATATAACGGTACCCCCCGATATTCGATATTTTGATGGACTTAGCCACATTTTTCTATGGAATTGTCTAAAAATTCTCAAAAAAAAAAAGTTCCCTGTGAGTTTTTTATCCCCTGAAAGAGAAATATCTATAATAAAGGTACCCCCGATATTCGGTATTTTTAAGATTTCAGCCACTTTTTTCAATGGTATTGTCTTAAAGTCCATAAAAGGAGTTCCTTGTGAGTACATTACCACCTGGAAGAGAATTGTCTATATAGGTCAACGATATCGTATATCCTCCATATAACAGTTCCTCCCTATATTCGGTATTTTGATGATTTTTGCGACGTTATTTAACGGAATTGTTTCAAATTTCATATATAAAATTCGGAACAGTTACTACAGCCTACAACACAAATTAGTTTTGCAGGACTAAATCTTCGTATAGCCCCCAAAAAACGTCTATCATTTAAGCGGTATTTTCTGACGGATTTTTTTGAAATTTTTCAAGTTTCTTCCAAATGGTGGAGAGTCGAACTTCGCTGCTTTTTTATTTTGTTTCAGTATTAGATATGGTGGATTACTTCGGCCCACTATGCCATGTACTTCACGCACATTTCCATATGTTCCAAAAATTATTACATATACATTACATGTTGAACGAAGTAGTCGAAAAAGACCCATTCTGGCACATTGATATTGGACTCAGGCCACTTCTTTTGAATCTTCTCCCATAAAGGGTGAATAGTTTGAAAAAAGGCATAACGCAAGTCAAAATATATTTACATAAACGAACAGTGGTAGCTGATTGAATTTGGATGTCATTTGACATAATTTATGCAAAACGTAGTACCTCCTAACAATTTTCCGAATTATATTACGAAATTCAAAAATCCGAATAACATAACTTTACTCACTCCAATGACTCCTTTGAATCCACCAACAGTATACAATATTGTATATTACTCGAAACCGGTATCGGTATACCATTGCTAAGGATCATCTCAATGCGACCATTCAACAGCTTCCACATCGAATCAACAACATCTTCAAAGAAATAACTATTTCGCGGACTCTGAACTTTAATGTGCAAACTAAAGCTACGAAGGCGATATTTCGAAATGTAAAACTTTTCAATGATCTCCACCAATGCTTCGGAGATGTTGTGGGCAATTTCTTGATTTTGTGACAAATTGGGACAATTTGTTGCAATGGAATTTCGAATATTCACCAAAAAAGATATTAGAATGAAGTAGTAAATCGTTGACATAATGACATAGAACTGAGAGTTGACAATATTTTAAAAATCGTTGCAAATCCGTTACTTGACAGTAATTTAGTTTTTAAGAATGTCTGGCGACTATAAATTTTTATATGGATATGATTTCGGTTTGAGTGGTTATAAATAACTATCTCTTTTAAGACTAAGTATAAAAATAAATGCTTCGCTTAGCTGGCAAGCCAGCTATGTCGTATATTGTTTGCTAACATTTTGTAATTAATAGTTCATTACAACAAGTATTGGAAATAATAGTTGCATTTTATTTAAGGACTGGGCACACAAATCGTTATACCCCACCACATTATGTGTTGCGGGGTATTATAAGTTTGATTGGGCCAAAAATTATGTAACACTTCTAAATATTGACGCTGCATCTGGATCTTCATGTGTCGCCGAGCTGAGTCGATCTAGCCGCCCATCTGTCCGTTTGTCCATGTTAATTTGTAATCACGCTACAGGTCGCAATTGGGGTTGATCTTCACGAAATTTTTCATGGGGGTGGCGTTTGGGTCAGAATACAAGTCTTAATCATTGCAAAATATTTTGAGGTTGAAATGGACAAAAAATAGAAAAATTTCCGGATTTTGCAGTTGCTTTAAAGATCACAATTACAGACCAATAGACTCAAAATTTTGCATGGGGCTAGAACTTAAGGCTGAACAGAAGCCTATCAATTTGGATACTCATCGAATAATGTTTAGCGGGTGAAATAGACAATAGCTTCTATGTAAAGAAAATACGAAACGACACCGAAACAAAAAACAAGAAAAAAAAATGTGAATATTTTTTCGAAATATTTTGTGATTTTTTTTATATCCTCCACTATAGTATGGAGAGTATATAAAGTTTGTAATTCCGTTTGTAACAACTCGAAATGTACATTTTAGATCCCATAAAGTATATTTATTCTTGATCAGCATAAAATTCAATGCCGATTTAGCGATGTCCTTCCGTCCGTCTGTGGAAATTACTCTAGCTTCCGAACGAAATGAAGTACGTTGATAAAATTGAAAACATGAAGTCACGTAGGTCCTCGTTTTGGTATAGCACCCATATAACGGTAACTCCAGAAATTCGGTATTTTGATGATTTAGCGACATTTTCATCGGAATTGTTCAAATTTGGTATTAGCAGTTCGTAAGACAGAAAAGTGTCTGTGCAGGTCCAGAAACTTGTCTGTGCAGGTACATGTCTTCGTATAGCCCCCATATAATTGTACCTCCCTTTCTTCGGTATTTTAATGATTTTAGCGACATTATTCACCGGAATTGTTTAAAAATTTGGCATTTGAAGTTCGTTGGTATTTTTGTGCAGGTCCACGTCTTGATATAGGCCCCATATAACGATACCCCCCGATATCCGGTATTTTGATGATTTTAGCCACATTTTTTAAGGGAATTGTATGAAGATCCACACAAGGAGTTCTTTTTGAGCACTTTACCTCCTGATAATTCAATATAGTTTCACGATATCGCATATCCCCCATATACCGGTACCTCCGATATTCGATATTTTGATAATTTTAGCCACATTTTTCAATGGAATTGTATGACAACCCACACAAGGAGTTTTTTGTGAGTTCTTTATCCCTTGGCGGAGAATTATCTATATGGGTCCAAACTATCGTATGTCCCCCATAAAACGGTACCCCCCGATATTCGGGATTTTGATGATTTTATCAAAATCCCTCGGAAGATAATTATCTATATAGGTTCACGACATCGTATAGCCCCCATTAACGCTACCCCCGATATTCGGTATTTTGATGATTTGATCCACATTTTTTAATAGAATTCTCTGAAATTCTACACAAGGAGTTCTTTGTGAGTACTTTACCGCCTGAAAGAGAATTGTCTATATAGGTCCAGAATATCGTATAAACCCCAAATAACGGTACCCCCCGATCTGCGGTATTTTGATGAGTTTAGCCATATTTTTAAACGGAATTGTCTGAAATTGTACACAAGGAGTTCTTAGTGAGTACTTTACCCCTAGACATAGATTTGTCTATATAGGTCAACAATATCGTATATCCCCCCATATATCGGCAACTTCCGATATTATGTACTTTAAAGATTTTAACCGAATATTTAATAAATTTTATTTTATTATTATTTTTTTCTGAAAATGTCCTAATTCGTTCCAAATGGTGGATGATATTCAAAGTTCGGTCCGGCGAACTTACAGCTTTTTTACTTATTTCACCTTAAAACACTATATTTGGAATTGTTATATTCAGGTCACAATTATAATCAGATCTTCACGAAAATTTGTGTAGAGGTACGGTTAGGGTCAGAATAGAAGCCTATATTTTTCGAACATTCACGCAGAATATCTATTGTTTAAAAAGAACCAAAAAAAGTTCTAGCCAGCGCTGAAAGCTAGCATTTTAGATGGAACACATTTATTGTCATTATTATTAAAATAATTTGTCGAATTTTATTTGCCAAATAACAAAAAATGTTTTCCATTGGTTTGATTGATTGCAAGTTATAATGGCAGACATAAAAAAGTGAGAATAAAACACGTCTAATAAATCCTGATTTAAATATAAATAGAGTAAGCTAAAAACCTGATCTTATGGTCAATGAACATCCATGAACTAATATCTGCGTGGTTTTATTCCAAATCACGTGACTTCATGTTTACTAGCGTACCCCGAAACGCAGATGCACACCCATACAATTACGACGATTACTTTTAAATGTTACACAAATATTTGTAGTCTGCTACATGTTTTTGGTGGATAGATATATAGTTCGATTTGTACATTAAGGTGGAACAAAAGAAAAACGACCTTAATTTCGGCTTATATTTTTGTTATTAAACATTCGAAAAGTAATCATATGAAAACATCGCATAACAAACCGATATATTCGATTTCGTACTTAAATGGTATTAAGAGACACACAATTGTACCGTACAAGTAATGAGCTTTCTATATCTAGATCTAGTACTTTAAAATGTTATATAAGTGCTTCTCTTTGTGTAGGAGCTGAAATGTGTTGAAATTTTGCACAAAGGTCAGTTTCATGGCGTAAGTGTGTGAAAAGGCTGGAAATTCGTACTAGAAGCGTACGAAAAGTACTAAAATGTGCTAAAAATTGAATACTTTGCATTGGACAAACGGAATATAAACTAGAAATTTGCAAAAAGTTTAAAAATGGTACTAAACTTCTAAAATGGAACCATTTGCTAAAAACTTGAAATTTTGGTATGAGAATCAAAGTTGACGATGGACTTGGTTTTAATAAGTAAAAAAAGCTTTAAGTTCGGTCGGGCCGAATTTTGAATAAAAAAAAATTACATCCGTTAAAAATTCTTTAAAATCTTAAAAATACCGTATGTTACCGTTACATTAGGGTATATACGACGACGTGGACCTGCATAGGCAACTTTTGTCAAAGGCCATTTAATTATTCAAATGCAAAACTTCATAAAAAAAATCAGGTTGGCTCTAAAAAATACCAAAGTGTCGATCACCGCAAGCAAGCGCTTCTCCGGGAATGGGGCAAAATACCGCAGAGCAACATTCGGGCAGTGTGTGACGGTTTTTTTATTGGCCGTTTGAATGCCATAATTCGTGCCAAAGATGACCATTAAATCTTAACTTATCTTAAAATTTGATGCTATTTCCGACATTTTTTTTACTTTCATTCAAAAAAATTCGTATTGGAAGACAAATGTAGTATGTATTTCTAATAGAAGACCAGCATTTAGTCTTTTAAGACAACAAAGAGGTCTGTTTTTAGAAGAAAGTTATAATTTTTATTTGACACCAATAGGTAGATTTTATAAAATGTCTTTTTACAGGAGGCCATCAAATGCGTAGGTCTTCTAATAGAAGGCCATGAGGAAACATTTTAATCATATTATTTTAGAAAACTATTACGTCTTGTTCAGATGGTGAGATGGTATTCTTGCAACAGGATTTCATCTCTGTGTTTTGCATTTCACATACTTTTAACTTAACACGAATGATCAAAATTTTTGTGATAGTCGATAGATTTGTGATAGATGATAGATTAGTCAAAGTGGGTCACACTGGTTAACTGTTTTGTGTTTGTGTCCCCATAGGAACATGTTGGTAATTTTGTAGGTCTGCCATCACTTCCCACTCGAATTAGCTATATTGATGTTTATTTGTTTCTTTGAGTTGAAATACACTCCTTGCAAATCATGCACACGTTTTGATATATTTGGCTTGAAAAACATTTATATTTAGGTCTTATTGATCTTCGATGTTCCCATTTTGAAAAGTTACAACATTAAATTAGCTTAAGGGTTTATCAATTAATCACAACATCAATTGGTACATTCGGACGTATAAGTGTTCTCACAATGTATACGCCCTTGAACCCCTAACGAACATAAGTTGTAGCAATTTTCCAATTAAGACCAATAAAGAAAGTCTTATATTCGGGCGGCCTACTTTATGATACCCTACACCACTCTTCTAATTTAGTACAGCTTCGCATAACAATTAAAAGTTATTATGGGAGAATTCAATCATACATGCTATGATTATAATTATAATTGAAAGTTCAAAGGACTAAATATGCCGAAGCATTTGTATCTTTTAAATTCGGACTTGTATTGCCCTTTTGGTGCACAAATAATTTGAAATCGTATAAATATATATATGGGAGCTATATCCAAATCGTAACCGATCTCGATAAAATTTGGCAAAGATATTTCTGAGTTGCATTTGATATATTTCCTTGAATATCGCTGTTACGAAGTGGATATTACGGCTGTGGGTAACAAATATAACAAATCGGATGAACACTATATATGGTAGCTATAGCTATATCTGAACCGATCTTCACCAAATTTGGCATACTACCTTCTAGACTCAATTCGGTCGTATGTGTCAAATTTCGTCCCATTTGAGCAAATATTAGACGTTTGGTGCACAATAAAATGTAAATCGGACGAAGTTATATATGGGAGATATATCCAAATCCGAACCGATCTCGATAAACTTTAGCAAAGATATTTCTAAGCTGTATTTGATATATTTCCCCAAATATTGTTGTAACAAAGTGCATATTACTGCTGCGAAGGACTAAAATTACAAATCGGATGAACAATATATATTGGAGCTATAGCTATATCTGAACCGATTTCGATCAAATTTGGCCTAATTTGGTTTCAGGCCTACTTTGGTTGTATGTGCCAAATTCCATACCCTGATATTACACGTTTGGTGCACAATAAAAGCAAATCGGACGAAGATATATATGGGAGCTATATCTAAATTTTTACCGATTATCTCCAATTTCAATAGGGTTCGTCCTTGGGCCAAACAAATGATTTGTGCAAAAATCATCTGGATCGGGTAATAAATGCGAACTGTACTTTGTTCACAGAAATACATGAACAGACGGACGGACATGCATAAATCTACTCAGAATGTGAAACTATTGGTCAATTTCGCTTCCTTTTGCCTGTTACAAACAAATGTACAAAGACATAATACCCTGACCACCTTGTGGTGTAGGGTATAAAAATTAAATTTTTAATTATAAAAATTAATTATAAAAATTTCTTTAAAATCCCTCATTTATATAAATAAAGATTTGTTTTTTTTTTTTAATATTTAATCTACCCATTGATATTTCATTTGACGCCTTCGCCACCTCCTTCGAAGCCTCTTCCACCAACAACCCATTCGATAGACACAAATTTCTCCCACAAACACCAAAATACATCCCGCCAAACAAATCAGCAATATATCCAAGGCACCATACAGCTCATTTATACCCATGGCCTTGGGTTGATCATCTGACCTCACTTTACGAAATGTATTTTTCGTCAACAAATACTTCTCCCAGCGGTGCATCAAACCCTCATTGATATAGCTCTTGATGTACATATTGAAACGATTCAAGAAAATGGAATTTTTCATCATATAAATACTTAACCTCTGGGTAAATAGGACCTCTGGCACCAAATAATAGGCTTGATTGTTACGTTGAAACCATTTAAAGTACCCAAAACGTTCGTGATTTGTCAGAACGGCAAGTTTCTCGTAACCATATTTTTCCGGGTGATTTAACATGGGGAAACTCTCCAGTTCACTGCCATTCATAATTAGGGCCTTTTCATGTAGCTTTTTGAGATGTTCTACTCCGTTGTAAATGTATTCCGGCATCAAAATCGTGTAATTTTCTCGGCGCAACTGATTTATGGTCTTCGGTGGCAGTTTGTGATAATCGTGCCTCAGAAAATGAAACATCAGACCCTGATACAGAGTACGCAGCACAAATGACGTCAGCAGCCATACGATGAGCAGAAATCGGGCAAATGGTATTTTTGGATCTCTGGATATCGGCCCACCCAAACTTATTACAAATGTATTGTACAGGGGCCTTTGAGGCTTCCTTCCAAAGAGTAAGTATTTTAATTGACAATTGGTTTGTATGGCCGCAAAAACAATGACATTTCCAATCACCAACATCAGGATGAGTACCAACCAAACTTTAATGCGAAATGGCAGCAGCAGCTTGACAAACGGATCATAGGGCTCGGTGTTGGCCGAAATTACAAAATAGTAAGTGCTCATATAGTAGGTAGTGGTGGGGGTATAGATGTCGAAAAACGAGGTGGGTTTATAGTGAAAGCCACCAAGGACAAAATCTGCTCCTTCGTCGAAGAGCTGGAAGGAAAAGAAATATGAAAATATTAAAAATCTAAAAAGTTCCCAAATCCCCCTTACCTCCTTCAACATGCCCCTTTCATCATAAACCGTTCGATTAATTTCCGACTCTGTCATCCAACGCATTTTAACGGTAAAATTCATTCGACTTCTTCCCTCAAGACCTCGATAATGATCCCTTGAGGGGGTCTTGGATTCTGGCAAGACCTCAAAATATGGCATATCCTCCCAGGTGGCACAAACCAACGGACAACCATACAAATTATTTGCCTTGGCAACATAAAATTTCGTATGCTCCCAGTGGCCATTGGCGAATTTATTATCAATTACCGGTACATTGGCCATACAATGGAACTTGGTAAAGGGCAGATCGTGAAAGAGTAGGATGCTATTTTGACCAGCATAGACGAGAATGTTAGCATGGGCGATGCCAGCATCCAGACACAGCTGTGACGAGGTGTACAAGTCGTTGTAGTAATGATTGGGCAGGGGCCAAGTGTAGAGCGCAATGAAATAGGAACCCTCGATGTAGAGATGATATTTGAGAATATTCGTGTAGAGATATCTGTGGAAAGGAGAAATAGAATATAAGTGAGTGAAAATTCTGCAACTAGAAAATTATGGATCTAGAAAATGGATCTTCTTATCTCGCCGAGCTGAGTAGATTTAGCTATGTATGTCCGTCCGTCCGTCCGTTTGTCCATGTTAATTAATAATCACGCTACAGGTCGCAATTGTGGCCCGGTCCTTACGAAATTGAAAATGGAAGTGGTGTTATGGTCAGAATAGAAGCCTATTGATTTTGGAGATGATCGCAAAATATTTAAGTGTAGAAATGGATCAAAAACTAAAAAATTTCCTGATTTTGCAGTTGCTCTACAGGTCGCAATTTTAGAACAATCGACGTCGAAGTTAGCATGGGGCTGGATCTTAGGGCTGGGCAGAAGTCTTCCAATTTGGATGGTCATCGGGATTAATATAGTGGGTGAAATAGACCATAATATTTGTGTTAAAGAAAATTCAATAGTAAATATATCGGATATATGTATAGCGCAATATATACTATGTGTGCAGGGTGATATAAATAACTGCAACAAACCCAAACGCCAAAATATTTACATTTTTCAAATGTTATTGAATGAAAGCAAAAAATGTCGGAAATAGCATCAAATTTTAGAATAAATTTAAATTTGTTCGAATTGGTCACCTTTGGCACAAATTATGGCCTTCAAATGGTCAATGAAACCGTCACACGCTTCCCGAATGTTGCTCTGCGGTATTTTGACCCATTCCCGGCAATGCGCTTTCTTGAAGTGAACGACACTTTGGTATTTTTAGTGCCAACCTTGCTTTCTAAAATACTCCAGACACAATAGTCCAACGGATTGGTATCCGGAGATTTTGGTGACCATTGTTCGCTGAAATGAAGCGAGGAACCTCATTTTATAACCATTTTTGGGTGGCGCGTGCCAAGTGCGATGGTGCTGAGTGTTTTCTCATCGGAAAAACCCAAATTCGGCAGTTCACCACTTTCGGTCAAGCGAAGCAACTCTTTAGCTCTTTTGAGTCTATTTTCTTTCTGTGGCAGTGTAAGTTCTTGAACTTTTTGGAATTTCAATGACTTTACCCCGAGCTCATTTTTCAATATTTGTCGAATGGAAAATTGCGATATGTTCTGCTCACGAGCCATATTTCGGCCACTGCAACGTGGGTTTCGATCAAGTCGCTTCTTTACCTTTCGAACCATTTCTGCTGATGTTGCTCTTTTCTTCCGTCCATTTCCTTGACGTCGGGCAACGCTACCAGTATCACGGTAACGAGCGATAGTACGAGACACAAAAGATTTATTCGCATTTAAATGCCGGAGTGCTCTAATGATAGCCACTTGTGGTTTTCCAGTCAAATATAAAGAAATCGCACTATCACGCTTGAATTCCATCACGAATAACTTTTTTTCTGGAAAATTCTCACCAAAATTCTTTTGTACGCTTGTAAACAATATAATGAGCAGTCACTGGAATCATTGTAACAGCTGTCGCACGAGTGGCTTAGAAATGACAGCAGTCTGAAGTTGATTGTAGTTTTTTCATCTCACCCTGTATATATAACAGATTTCTCCCAGTTGAACATGATGGGCATTTTTATGCTATTACCATCCATACCAATGCATCCAGACCTTACTTCTTCAAAGTTGATGCGTTTTTGTATAGCCATATAACGTACCTCGTATGTACCTTGTTTATAACGGTACCTCCCAATATTCAGTATTTTCATGATTTTAGCGACAGTATTTATTGGAATTATTTCATATTTAAAGTTCGTAATGGGTACTACAGGCTATAACAAAAATTTTTGTATGTAGGTCCACGTCTTCGTAAAGCCCCTGTATAACGGTACCACCCGTTTCCCCCCCTGTCTTTAGATCGCCTAGATTGTGCGAATTAATGTTTTTACACTATTTTGTTGGGTTATGTTAAAGCTCATGTCTAGGTCGACAAGCCAGCTTCAATTGAAGCATTCATTCGACGACAACAACGTTTGGATGAAATAGTCTTCAAACATCAAATAAAGATTTTATGCATTTTTTTTTGAATTTAATGCGTTTTTTAAACACACTTTTCTATAGCTCTTAAAAAATCACCCTATAATTACATTATAAAATGTTTCCACTTACTCCAGTGACTCCGTTGAATCCACCAACAATATACAAAATTGTATATTACTCGATAAGGGTATCGGTACACCATTGCTGAGGATCATCTCAATACGACCATTCAACAGCCTCCACATTGAATCAACAACATCTTCAAAGAAATAACTATTTCGGCGACTCTGAACTTTAATGTGTAAATTAAAACTCCTTCGACGATATTTTCCAATGAAAAACTTTTCAATGATTTCCACCAACGCCTCGGAAATATTACGGGCCATTTCGTGATGATTTAATTGCAGGGAGTACAGAGGGCAGTTTGCTGCATCCGAAGAGTTACGTTTAAGAGAGACGACCAAAAACAGCAACAACAATGAACTTACAATCAAATAAGAAATTGTTGTCATTGTGGTCCGAAAGACTTGTATCCAATAATGTTATGTGGACCAAAATAATTGTAAATCCTTTACTCAATGACTTTGAAATGTACAAAGCCAAATATTTTTTATTATTATCATTATAATTGGCTACATGGCTCAGTTTCGAGACTTTAGTAAAAATTAATATCAAATTGATAAAAATCTGTTAGGCTTCCTGCCGGTTTTATCGTGTTATGTCATCAGTTGTTTACGCACCTAACAATACGAGTAATTAATTGTTTATTATGTCAATATTCCAATACTAGTTGTGTTTTATTGTTAATTAATTTGAGCACAAGTTTTTAAAATAGCTTAAAGTGGAAATGCAAAATATCGATATTAAAAGAGGCTAGGATCCCGTTTATACCCTACACCACAAGGTGGTCAGGGTATTATGTCTTTGTGCATTTCTTTGTAACAGGCAAAAGGAAACGAGATAGACCCATAGTTCCTTTTGATGATCTGCATAGAATCACGTTCTGAGTCGATTTATGCATGTCCGTCCGTCCGTCTGTTCATGTATTTTTGTAAACAAAGTACAGTTCGCATTTATTGCCCTATTCAGATAAAATTTGGCACAAATCATTTGTTTGGCCCAAGAACGAACCCTATTGAAATGGGAGATAATCGGTCAAAATTTAGATATAGCTCCCATATATATCTTTGTCCGATTTGCCTTTTATTGTGCACCAAACGTGTAATATCAGTCCGAATAGTATGGAATTTTGCACGTACGATCAGATTGGACCTAAAAAAAAGAATGCCAAATTTGATCGAAATCGGTTCAGATATAGCTCTAGCTCCCATATATATTGTTCATCCGATTTGTTATTTTTATCCTCCGCAGCCGTAATATGCACTCTGTAACAACAATATTTGGGGAAATATATCAAATCGAGATCGGTTCAGATTTGGATATAGCTCCCATATATAACTTCGTCCGATTTGCTTTTTATTGTGCACCAAACGTCTAATATTTGTCCAAATTGGATGACATTTGGCACTTACGACCGAATTGAGTCTAGAAGCTAGTATGTCAAATTTGGTGAAGATCGGTTCAGATATAGACATAGCTCCCATATATACTGTTCATCTGATTTGTTATATATGTTACCCACAGCCGTAATATGCACTCCGTAACAACGATATTCAGGGAAATTTATCAAATACAGCTCAGAAATATCTTTGCCAAAATTTATCGAGATCGGTTCAGATTTGGGTATAGCTCCCATATATATTTTTATCAGATTTCAAATTAATTGTGCACCAAATGGGCAATACAAGTCCGAATTTAAAAGATACTAATGCTATATGTTAGAAGCCCCCTCATGTCCAAATCCATTTTGGAAGAATTCGCATTTGAAATTATGTCACGGCGCACTGCCCTTATATTACCCTTAGCATTTTGACCAGAGACAATTTCCGTCGTGCTGTTAGTTTTTGTGGTCCATTTTACGGCTAAATATCCAATGGTCATCCAAAATGTCAGAAGTCTTCCCTGTGCTTAACTTAATCTTCTCAGACGTGTCGATTGGCTTCAATTGTGTGATCAGGACTTTTTTTCTATTTTTGATTCATTTGAACCCCTAAATCTTTCGCGATAATCTCCAAAAGCAAGAGGCCCCTCTGTGTCTTCAAATTTAGACTCATCTATATGATTTGCTTGTCTACGATATTTGGTTATATTCGTCAACGAAATCAGCATAAAAAAGCCAGAAGTTCGCCTTTTGTGTATTTCGGATATCGCCTGTAAGTAATGCTGGTAAGTAATGCTGGTATTTTTTCACACAAAATTAGTGGTTCATTGTACCCGCTGTCCTAAACTCTAACTTTATGCGAGATTTCGTATCCTTTGGTTTCCATTTGTGACCTTTATAACGGCTGCAAAATCAGGAAAATTTTAGTTGTTGGTCCTTATATATTGCGGACATCTTTGAAAACAATTGGCCTAGCCCTTCTGAGCCTAATCCTACCCTAATGAAAATTTTCGTGAGAATCGGACGATAAATGCAATATGTATATAATGACCCCAACCTGTGTTGTAAGTTGAAAAAATATTACAAAATATTAAAAGTCAAATTGAATAATCGCATGCGATAAAAAATATGAACAAATAAAAAAATGACACAAAATACTACAAAATCTATATTGACATCATTATTGGCATATTTTTCTGCGATTTTTTTAGATTTTATACATTTATGTCAAGAGGGCATTCTGAATTGCCAAAATCGGTCCAACTATTCTTGAGATATAAGCATTCTAGCTAACATCCCCTTCCTTTGTATATATTTCGCTACATATATCCGATATTTTTACTATCGGCATTTACGTAACGGTCAGAATTGACCTGTTCGTCTATTTGTGATTTCGCCGGGATTCGCGGTTTAATGGAAAATTTGACTTTTATTTAACAGAAATGTTAAAGTCTATTTAACCCACTAAATATTAGCCGATGACCATAAAAATTGGAAGGAATCTGTCCAGCCCTAAGCT